AACTATGGAAAATAAGAAGGGGAAACATTGGCCTGAGTGTCAAAAAGGTACAAAAGCAAAATATTGCAGATGTTGTAAAGCTGAAATAACAACAGAACATGCTGGAAATATCCTGTCAAGTAGCATCTTTGGAGAAAAAGCAAGTTAACACTCCATTTGATATTTTCTAACCAACCTGCTCAGAGATATTATTGAGACAGCAAGGTGCAGAGCTGGATGAATACAGCAGGCCAAGCAGCATCATAGGAGCAGGAAGGCTGATGTTTCGGGCCTAGACCCTTCATCAGAAAAAAAAAGAGATATTATTACACACTTTTGGTATAGGTGGGACTTTGATCCAGGCCTCCTGGATCAGAAATTGGGTCACTACCATTGTGCCACAAGAACACTAACATTTGTTTTGCTAAGGTGCCTCATAATTGATTAATAAAGTCAGGGAATGAGAGTTAGGGACAAATGGATTGCTAGCTGGCTTCAAGGTAGAAGGCGGAGTGTAGGAATAAAGGATTGTAACTTAGTGGCAAAAGTTGGAAATGGTGTTTTTTAAGGATCAGAGCTGGAACCACTGCTATTCACAATTTACATTTATAATTTGGACTTGAGAATCAAAAACACAATTTTTAAATTTGCAGATTCTATTGCTGATCCTTATTTGGTGTAATCAATATTGAAGACAGGCAAACTATGGGAGAACATTATTCTTACAGAACGGACAAATAATTGGCAAGTGAAATTGAATTCAAATGTGAAGTTGTACATTTTGGTGGCAAAAATAGGGAGATCACATTACTCAAAACTCAACAAATCTAGGTGGGGTAAAAGATCAAATGGATTGAGTGAATACACACACACAAGAACGTAACAACTAGGAGCAGGAGTAGGCCATCTGGCCCCTTGAGCCTGCCCCACCATTTAATAAGATCATGGCTGATCTTTTTGAGAGTCAGCTCCACTTACCCGCCCACTCACCATAACCCTTAATTCCTTTACTGTTCAAAAATTTATCTAGCCTTGCCTTAAAAACATTCAGCGAGGTAGCTTCAACCGCTTCACTGGGCAGGGAATTCCACAGATTCACAACCCTTTGAGTGAACAAGTTCCTCCTGACCTCAGTCCTACACCTGCTTCCCTTTATTTTGAGGCGATGCCCTCTAGTCCTAGTTTCACCTGCTAGTGGAAACAACCTCCCTGCCTCCATCTTATCTATTCCCTTCGTAATCTTATATGTTTCTAAGATCTCCCCTCATTCTTCTGAATTCTAATGAGTATAATCTCAGTCTACTCAGTCTCTCCTCATAATCCAACCCTCTCAACTCTGGAATCAACTGAGTGAATCTCCTCTGCAGCCCCCCCAGTGCTAGTATATCTCTTCAAGTAAGGAGACCAAAACTGTACACAGTACTCCAGGTGTGGCCTCACCAGGACTCCATACAGCTGCAGCATAGCCTCCCTGTTTTTAAACACACACAAACGTTGTGGTACAGAAGGCTAATGAAAAAAAAGCACTTAAATACAGAAGAAGTTAGACCACCTCTAATGGGTGCATAAGTGTGCACAGTTCTGGCCGCCAGACAATAGAAAGGAGCTCCAGGGAGATGAAAAGGCTGGGGGCTAGGAGTGGTGGTCACTAGGTTAGTTTGCAGGTGACAAAGATTAGCTGAGTAGTTGACAATGATGAAGGTGGTCTTCGGTTACAGGAGTATATACACAGATGTGTCACATGGGCAGCTCAGTGACACATGGAATTTAACCCTGATTAAATGTGAAGTGATTCATTTGTCTTGTTGCTTCTTCCAAAGTGTATGACAGGACACTAATAAGCTCAGAGGAATAGAAGGATCTTGGGATGCTTGTCCTCAAATCCATGAAGGCAGCAGGATAAGTTTATTAGGGTAGTTAAGGTGACAAAGAACACTCACCTTTATCAGTCTTGACATGGATTAAAAAAGCAGGGAGGTCATATTGGCACTGTACAAAACTTTGGTTAGGCCACAGCTGAACTATTGTGCACAGTTCTGGTCATCACAATATAGGATGGGTGTGATTACACTAGAGGGAGGGAGCACAGGAGATTCACCAGGATAGTAGGAACTGCAGATGCTGGAGAATCCGAGACAACAAGGTGCAGAGCTGGATGAACACAGCAGGCCAAGCAGCATCATAGGAGCAAAAAGGCTGACGTTTCGGGCCTAGACCCTTCATCAGAAATGGGGGAGGGGAAGGGCGTTCTGAAATAAATAGGGAGAGAGGGGGAGGTGGATAGAAGATGGATAGAGGAGAAGATAGGTGGAGAGGAAACAGACAGGTCGAAGAGGTGGGGATGGAGCCAGTAAAGGTGAGTGTAGGTGGGGAGGTAGGGAGGAGATAGGTCAGTCCAGGGAGGACGGACAGGTCAAGGGGGCGGGATGAGGTTAGTAGGTAGGAGATAGGGGTGCGGCTTGAGGTGGGAGGAGGGGATAGGTGGGAGGAAGAACAGGTTAGGGAACTCTGCAGCCCAATGGTATCAATGGGGATTTCACAAGCTTCAAAATCTCCCCTCCCCCTACCGCATCCCAAAGCCAGCCCAGCTCATCCCCACCTGTTCTTCCTCCCACCTCAAGCCCCACCTCCAACTCCTACCTACTAACCTCATCCCGCCCCCTTGACCTGTCTGTCCTCCCTAACTCCCCACCTACACTCACCTTTACTGGCTCCATCCCCGCCTCTTTGACCGGTCTGTCTGTTTCCTCTCCACCTATCTTTTCCTCTATCCATCTTCTTTCTGCCTCCCCCTCTCTCCCTATTTATTTCAGAACCCCCTTCCCTCCCCCATTTCTGATGAAGGGTCTAGGCCCGAAACGTCAGCCTTCCTGCTCCTATGATGCTGCTTGGCCTGCTGTGTTCATCCAGCTCTGCACCTTGTTGTCTCAGATTCACCAGCATGTTGCCTGGCATGGAACATTTTAGGCATGAAGTGAGGTTGGATAAGCTCGGGGTGTCTTCTTTAGAAAAGAGAAGGCCGGGACCTGATAGAGGTGTAGAAGATTACAAGGGGCATGGGTGGGTTGCACAGGAAGCAGCTGTCCCCTTCAATTAAAGGTTTAATAACTAAGGCAGAATAATTTTAAGGTGAAAAGCACAAAGTTTGAGGAGATTTGAAGAAATCTTTTCATCCAGGGGGTGGAGGGAGTCTGGAATGCACCGCTTGGGAGGGTAGGCCGGATGGGAAACCTCTCAATCTTTAAAAAGTACTTGATTGAGCACATGAAAAGGTCTTAACACTCGAGGTTATGGGCCAAGTACTGGAAAGTGGGCCCAGTGTAGATTTTGTAGTTTTCATGATGACCAAAGGAACATTTCTGTATCCTATAATTCTATATACTGGAGAGGGTGCAGAGATTTACAAAAACTGATACCATAATGAAATGGGCATATCTGTCTGGAAAGAATTGGAATAGGGTGATCTAACAGAGATCTTTAAAATGAAAGACTTCAATAGTGGATATACAAAGAATGTTTCCTTCTGAGGGGAACAGCTTAAGTAGAACTATCAATATAAGAAGTCGCTTATGGAATTCAGAAGAAATCTCTACCCAAAAAGCACCAAGAATGTGGAACCCAGTACCATGGTGTGGTTAAAGGCAAGCTAGACAAGCATCTGAGGCAGAAGAGAATAGATGGTTTCAGTGATAGATTTAGATCAGAAAAGATGGGAGGAAACGCAAATAAAGTACAAACATCAACATAGGATAAATGACAGAATCCATTTGACCTGACCAGCCTATGTAACTTCATCCCTCACCATCCTGATATTTTCTCTTATCATCTAAAAATCTATTGAACTCAGGTCCTGCATGTACTAAGTGACTGAGCATGCACCTCTGGGGAAAATAAAATAATTCGAAGATTCACAACATTTTGACTGAAGACATTTCTCCTCATCCTTTTCAAAAGGCTGCTCATTTATTTTGCAACTTTCCACAAGCTCTAGACTCCCCAGCCTATGTAAACACACTCCCAGTATTTAATCTATCAAGTGTCTTAAGGGGAGAGGTCTTATGGTTCTTAATTCAAGGAAATACGCTTCTAATTGACCAACGTTCTTCTTAAAAGGAGGACAATCCCATCGTGCCAAGAGGATGAAGTTTAATCCAACTTAACTGCACTCCTTTGGGAGGTGCTAGTGTATTGATAATGTCACAGTAAATCAATCAGAGGTTCAAGCTGAGGCTTAGGGGATAGATATTTCAATCCTACCTTGGCAGCTAATTTGATTTTAAAAAAATTCTGACTATCAGTTGGAAGATGAAAAAAATGTAAAGTTAATCACTTTAAGGCTCTTGTGGCACAGTGATAGTGATCTCCACTCTGGACCAGAAGATCCAGTTTAATTCCTAACTGCCCTAGGGTTTGTAAAATAACCATCTGTACAGATGGTTATTAATCAATCAATCTGTTCCTAAATAAAGGGGAACAAAACTACAGTACTCCAGTTGTAGTCTCAAGGTCTTTTACAGTTGTGGAAAGACTTCACATTCATATTCCAAACCATTTGTGGTATTGTTTTTATATTTGTTCACAGGACCTGGGTGCCACTGGCTGGGCCAGCATTCGTTACCAAATCCCTAACTGCCCTCTAGGTTTAACGGCTACCACACTATTTTCTTTCTTAATTGCTTATTGCACCTGCAAGTTAACTTTCATAGATTAGTATACAAGACCACCCCAGGACCTTGAATGTCCACTTTCTCCTGTCTCATTTAAAAATAGCCTGCTTTTCTGTTGTTGCAAACGAAGTGGATGACTTCCTGTGAAGGTTTTATTCCTCAAAAAGAAATCATACACATTAGATTGTTATTAAAGCAATTATTGTCAATGTGATGAAACAATTGGGCCCTCAGAAAGCATGACAAATTTCAGTTCACGTGGGCCATTGTCAGAACTCTACATAGCAGGTTATAAGGAAAATGGGTTTCTGTACTTAACTAGCTTTAAATTTTAACAAACACGAATGCAAAAAATACTGGAAACTGTTTTATTATTTCAGTAGTAAGCAGTTACAGACAAACACCAATACATAACACATGGACCATCAGTAAATCTGCCAATGTTGTTCATATTCAATGTAAAGACTTCATGAAGAAAAGTTGTTAAATCACAAAGCCTACATTCCAAGGCAGGGGAATCAAGAATCATGGTAAAAAACCAACAAATCAGTATAGTGTCAAGAAGTTACCACTGATCATCAATAAATAAAACCTTTACCATATACAAGCATGTCTTTCAGTGCATTCCATTCTGACAAGTGTTTTGGGTAAACCAGAGACAAAGTTTTAGGTAACAATTCCCAAGATCAAAGTCCTATTAATGAAAAATGATTAATCCAAATGCAGGATTTGAATTGGAAAGTGCTTTGAGAACCTTCCTGGTTTCTTTTGCAGACAGCTACTTCTCTTCCCATATTTCTCTGAACAGTGACACTACTGATCATAATTGTGTTTAAGCTTCAAAAAGTATTACAGCTATAGTCCATTTTAAAAGTTACTGATCTCAAAAATATACATCTACACTTCATAGGTGTAGACACATTCAACAGGCTCAATCAATCAACAGCCTCAAAACATACTAGTGCCATTCCAGCCCAATTCTTTGCAACCATCTCCAGGATTTCAAAGCGACCAGAAATTGCACTCCTTTATTATCACACAAGCAACAAATGATGGAAGAGGTCAACACTAAAGGTTTAAAATGAGCAACTAATTTGCTACCATTTGGTTTTTTATCTTGGGAAAGTTCAAATTAATCCCATTTAGTTGACACTCAGCTAGTCCAGATTTAGAGCAAACACGTACAAGACATTCGAAATTGCACATATTTTCTTTTAAATTGCTATTTGCCTTGTATGGATTCACAGTTTTTCCACCTAAAGCCACCCTTTCCATTGTATAAAGGTTCAGCCTTTGCAGAATAGCTACCAACTGAAACTTAGAAGTGAAACAGATCTAACTACCCTGTAATCCAATATTCCTTAGTGACTACTCAAGAACTCATTTTTTCATTTAGTTTGTAATGAATTAGGTAAAGGTATATTTCAAGCCAAGGATTTTGAGCAGAAAGTTCCTATAGGAGCTTGTCAAGTGCACTGTGGAGGTAGGCTCAGGCAATAGATTTTACAGATTTCTGAAAAGATCCAAAGGGGTCAGCCAGCACATTGACACTGAAATAGACCAACAGTAACTCTGTACACATTGGCAGAATCATTAATATTGCAATCTTATCACCAATGGTTTAATACCCAAAAAAAAAAGTATTTAAAAAAATCATGACAAGCAAAGCAGTGCTCGTTTTCCTTTTCAAATATCAGCCAGCTGATTAACTCATGATACAAAAGCAAGATACCCTAAATCTGGAAAGAATATGCTGAAAATTCTCAGTCAGCATTGGTAGAGACTGGAACAGAGAAGTTTAGTGCTGTTTCTTGCACATGTTGCAAGACCCAAAAATTTACAGAATTTCTGTTTTTAATCTTTTATTCCTGACATTTCTGTCCTTCAAGTTCACCATATAGTATCCAAAATATGATTCAATATGTAAAAATAAATCAGAATCTTCAGGTAGGTCTTCCAATTACAAACTTTGCAGTTATAGAAAATGTTATCATTTCCTGGATACTCTCAACCCTTACACCCAACATATAGTGAAAAGTTTTACAATTTCAGAGGAAAGGAGTATCATTCCTAATGCTTTTTTGATGATTTACCAGTAAAACAGATTTCCAAAGGTGATAGAACATTTTTAATTTTTAAGTGCATACAAAGTACTGCAACATTGAACTTAACTCGAGAGCCTGGGTACTGAGCCAAGTCAAAAACTTCAAGATTTCAGCACACAAATGAGACAGATTCAGGTATTCCTGCTTTGTTGGAGGGACCACCTTTCAGATTAAAGATTAGAGAAATCTGTATTTCAAACTGGTAACTGCATTTGGTACAGAACAATGACTACAATCATTGAAAGACTAAATTAGCTATAAAGTACTTGGGGACATCCTCAGACAATGAAAACCGTATAAACAAAGTTCTTTCTTTCTTAGAAATAAGTTGTACATTTCCTATGAATATTGGTTAAAGAAAGATGAAAACAGATCAAGTTCATAAAATTATTTTGCAAGGTACAAAAAAGGAGATTGGCAAGTTAGCGAATTTAAAGAGGGGTCTGCTGCCAGCTGGAAAACATTCCTATAATTAGTAAATACATGCTTAAGAAATTCTTTAAACAAAGCATAGGACTACAACTTAGGTAGCCTTGTTGCAGACTCTGGCCAATCATAAACATCTGGAAGGAATGACTCATAGTCCGTCTTCCAAACCTTTGACAGAAAATACTCTTCTTTGTCCTCAGGTTCTGGAAACTCGAATGCCATGTTATTTGTATACAAGTATTCTGCAACCTATAAACAGATCAAAACAATTTTTAAAAAAAAAACTACACATGGCAAGAGTACACCATATGTACAAAGTTTTAAGATTGAATTTCTACAAACAGCATTATCTATAATGGAAAGGTAACAGGAAAGAAAATGGCAAAATACAGTTACTGCTAGAAAATCAGAATACATCACATCATCAATACAACAGGGAATAATGCCTCCTTCCCAAGCGAATAGGAGTATTGTCAAACAGGCAAAATACAGGGAAACACTCAAAAAGCATGCCAGATTATCCTTCACTTTATAATATTTTTTACAGTCAGTGAAGATGTCACTCCATCCCTACAAAGGACAGTGCAATAGTCACTCTTACCAATAGTCTCATGGACAGATGCATCTGCAGCAGGCAAATTGGTAAAGAGGAGGCCAAGTATGTTTATTCCTCTTGTTGGTTCCCTCACTATCTCCTGCAGACCCAGTCTAGCAACTATGCCTTTGAGGACACGACTAGCTTGACTGGTACTGCTGCTGAGCAGTCTTGATGGTGGACATGGAAATCTCCCACCAAGAATACATTTTGAGTCCTTGCCACCCTCAGTGCTTCCTCCAATGCTGTTCAATATGGAGGAGCATAGATTCATCAGGGGAGGGAGGATGGTATGTGGTAATCAGCAGGAGGTTTCCTTGCCCGTGTTTAACCTGAAGCCATTTGACTCTGGACCCTGTGAAGTCGATGTTGAGGGCACCTCCTTCCAGACAGTACACCACTGTGCCACCACCTCTGCCAAGTCTGTCCTGCTGGTGGGACATGAAATATCCAGGGATGGTGATGGTGGTTTCGGAGACATTGTCTATATGGTATGATTTGGAGAGAGTATGGCTATGAGGCTGTTGTATGACTAGTCTAAGACAGCCTTCCAAAATTTTGGCATTAGCCACCAGGTGTTAGTCAGGAGGTCTTGCAGTTCGATAGGGCAGTTTCTGCCATTGCCTTTTCCAGTGCCTAAGTCAAGGCCATTTCAAAGGGCAGTTGGGAGTCATTGTTGTGGGTCTGGAGTCACATGTAGGCCAGACCAGGTAAGGATGGCAGAATTCCCTCCCTGAAGGGCATTACTCATAGAATCATAGAATTTTACGATACAGGAGGCCATTTTACACATTGTGGCCGTACCAGCTTGCAAAAGAACTACCTAGCTTGTCCCATTCTCTAGCCTTATCTCCGTAGCTTTCTAAATTCTTTGCTTTCAAAGAGATATCTAGCCCTCTTTGGAAACCCTGTATGGAATCTGCCTCCACCACTCTCCCAGGCAGCACATTCCAAATACTAACAACACAAAGTTTGGGGGAGCTACAGATAATGAGGATTGCCAGAAGATACAGAGGATATAGATAGGCTGGATACTTGGGCCAAGAAATGGCCGATGGGGTTTAACCTGAACAAATGCGAGGCAACACATTTTGGAAGTTCCAGTATGAGGGAAGTATAATGTAAATGGCAGGAACACAAGTAATACTATTACAGGCATACAGGATCACAGTTCCCTGAAAGTGGCAACACAAGTGGATAAGGTGGTCAAGAAGGCATATGTCATGCTTGCCTTCATCAGTTGGGACATCGTGTATACAAACTGGCAAGTCATGTTGCAGCTGTACAGAACTTTAGTCAGGCCACATTTGGAATATTAGGTACAGTTTCGGTTGCCACACTACCAGAAGGTTGTGGAGGCTTTAGAGGAGGTACAAAGCGATTTACCAGGATGCTGCCTGGTTTGGAGGGTATTAGTTATGAGGAGAGATTGGAAAAACTCGGTTTGTTTTCACTTGAACATCGAAGGATGACCAACAACCTGATAGAACATTACAAAATTATGAGAGGCATGGATAGAATGGACAGTCCAAGTCTTTTTTCCAGGGTAGAAATGTCAATTACTAGGGGACATAGGTTTAAGCTAAATAGGGAATGGAGGAGATGTGAGAAGCAAGTTTTATTTCTTTACACAGGAGATGCTAAGTGTCTGGAATGTGCTCCAGAGGTGGTGGTAGAGGCAGACACAGTAACAATGTTTAAGACACATCTTAAAAGATACACGAGGGAACAGAGAGAGAAACAGACTGCTTGGAGGTAAATGGTTTCAGTTTAGAAAGCCATCACGTGTTAGCCCGAAGGGCCTGTTCCTGTACTCCTACTGTTCTTTGTTGGAAATAAAGTGGCAGTAAAAACAGCCATGAAGCAACTAGTTCATTGTATAAACCAATTTGGTTTATGTATCAAATACCAGCCTGTTCAGCATTGTTTGCGATCCAAGAATAATTTTTTTTTAAAGAAATGAAAAGGGAATAACAGAGGACATATGACATCACATTAATGAAATTATATGTTCAGTTGACAAATTGCAAGAAAGTAGTAACTTCTGATACCCATCTGAAAAATCCAATTAAAAACCTGAAATACACAGCACCAGCTGTCAGCCATTCAAAGCCCTGACCTGTTATGCCACAATAGGTTCTGTTATTGATTAGATCATACTTAATTTGTCTCACAAACTCAGTTACCGGACCTTGTTCCATAATAGTTTAATACTTACCCCTACCTGACAAAATATCAGTTTTGATCTTCAAAAACGCCATCTCTCACAGTCTCTTCAGAAAGTGAGTTTTAGACTTCCACTAGCCTTTGTATAAAAAAAGTGCTTCCTGATTTTTCCTCAATATGGCCTAGTTGTAACTTTAGGTTAATGGGCGAGTCCAGACAAGGCAGCAGAGGAAATATGGTGCATAGAAAAACTACACATCATCCTTATTATCCACTGATTTGTGCTATCCATGTATTCGTGCACTCGCAAGGTTGGCCTCGGACCCCATTTTATTTCTCTCATTGATTTATCTGGTTTGATCGCACAGCCCTTTGTGGTACATTGGAGTGTTACAGAGGAGCAGTACCCGTGCTTTGCTATCCACAGGGAATCAGTGCTCCTATCCCCTGTGGATATCAAGGATAAGATGCATTAAATGCCATAATATTTTAAATATTGCCATTGGATAGTTGCTCAATATTCTACATAAAGCAGTTCATTCAATGCTGTTACTTTCAAACCGTCCTAAAGTTTAGCCTTTGAGCCTTGGTATGATTCTCGTGAATATGTTCTTCCAAAAACAATACATCTTTTCTGAACTTCAACGCCTTGAACTAAAACAGTACACAAGATGGAGTCTGACCAAGGCTTTGTCCAACTTGCTCATTTTTAAAATTTCTAATCCTCTCAAGATACAAAGCAACATTCCAACATGGAAAGCTATTTCAAGTGGTGTTCCACTTGGTGGGCTTGGTCTTGGGACCCCTACTGTCTGTTTTTATACATGAACATGAGGGGCACAATTGGAAAATTTGCTGTCAGAAACTGGCCATGTAGTGGATAGTGTAGAAGTTAGCTGAAAGCTCCAAAATGAAAGATGGGCTAGGGGAATGGGCAGGAAAGTGGCAGATGGAGTTCAACTCTGATAAGCATGAGGTAATACATTTAGGGAGATCAAACACTAAAGGTAATGCACATTAAACAGGAATCATACTGAGAGGAGAAGATGAAGTAGAGAGAGATCTGGCCATGCAAGTGCACAGGTAGTAATACAGGGTAGATAAGGTTGTAAAGAAGGCATATGGAATGCTCACTTTCATTGGCAGAGGTATAGAATACACAAGTAGGGATAAAATTATGAAACTGTGTAGAAGATACTGATGAGGCTACAACTGGAGTATTATGTGCAGTTCTGGTGCAGGAAAGATGCAATTTATCTGGAAAGAGTGCAGGGAAGATTAACGAGAATGTTGCCCAGGCTGGAGGATTGTAGCTACAAGGCGAGATTGAAGAGACTGGGGTTGTTCCTTGGAACACAGAGAAGGCTGAGGGGTCACATAATTGAGACAAAGTTGTGAGGTGTAGAGATAGGGTAGACAAAAGGAACACGTCTTCCTTGGCAGAGAAGTCAAAAACCAGAGGTCATAGATTCAAGCTAAGTGGCACAAGGATTAGAGGGATGTGAGGAAAAACTTTTTTTTTTAAAAAATGCAGAGGGTGGTGGATGTCTGGAAATCATTGTCCGAGTTGGTGGTGGAGGCAGAGTCCTTATCCTCTTAAAACGTACCTAGATGTGCTGGAAGCTGCAGGGCTCTGGGCCACTAGCAGGAAAATGGGATTAGAAAGGGCATCTGGCTGTCTTTCGATCAGCATGGGCAAGATGGGCCGAATGGACTTGTGCTGTTTCATTTCTATGGCTCTGTAGATGGGATTAGTTTAGAATGGTACCACAGATATGGTGGGCTGAAGGCAGTGTTCCTGTGCCATACTGTCCTATAACATTTATTTTGTATGTCTATTTGTCTAAAGATTCCCAAATTCCTTTGCTACTCCACAGTTAGTGGTCTCACAATATCAAGTGCACTACATCGCAGATTTTTGTAAAAACATGGGAGCTTAGAAAATCAAATTCTGTTTAAAGAATATAGTTAGAATATTAGAAAACAAGTACGAGGTAAAAGTCTGTGCCCTCACATCAAAACAATACATTAACCAATCGAACATGCAGGATGGCTAAAATGCATATCTTAATGTAATTAAAAATACTAACGAGCGATGCACTCCCACGACTGTGGTGATAATGCAGCTTAGAGGTGTACAGACAAAATGAATCAGGAAACACAACTCTCCATTTTCTAACCATAGAATTTTACTTCTCTCAAGTGACAAAAATAAAAATTGGAACCTGCACAACAGATGAGGACCTAGATAATACAGACAAGGTAGGTATATGTCCCATTACATTTTGATATAGTTTTTAAAAAACCTTCCACTTTCAGATTAAAACAAAAAGGATGCTTACCTTAGCTGCAGTGTGAACGGAGACTTTACGGATCTTAGATAGGGATGGATAAAGGCGCCCTTGGGCTAACTCATTATTGGTCACCTGCTCGGCCAGTGCCTACAGAAAAATTACATGAGGAACTGTAAGACAATACAAGTACTCTCTTACCATACCACAGGTTTAATGAATTTCAGAAGAGTACTGCTGACAATTTCCCAGAGTAAATATTTTCAACTTTAAAGCAATTATTTCTGATCATTGGACTTAGTTTTAGCATTACACATTTATTATATTGTCAATGTACTAGTCTGCAACTTTAATTCTAAGCTGGCAGCGAGTAACAGAAATTTATGCCGCAGAGTGTAATGAAGCAGCACTGGCTTTCAGAATTAATTTTGCATTTGACAACAGGCCTCACTTTTGCCCAAACTCCCCCTACACATGGGCTTAACATTTTTAGTTTCCTCTTTCCTGGAAGTATTCGTCAACCTTTATCCAGTGGAAAACCTACAGTGGCTTTTGTGCTTAGAAACACTAAAGTTGAAAGCAGGTTCCTGTTACATCATGGGGACCAGACATGTAAATGAAAAGCAACACAAATTTACCTTTGCCTAGTCAACTACTTGATAACTTTAAAATGTGCAGTTTATACTCTCCGTTGGGCTCCTCTTGCGAAGTTGGGCATAATATATTTGTGGATTGGAAGGCATAACATTAGAATTCGTTTGGAAAATGGGGCGGGGGGGTGGAGGCGGAAGAGAGCACGGTCCCTTTAAAAGATGATGTGCTTTTTTATGCTTGGAAATTTTAAAAAGTCTGCAGACAGCAGATGATGCAGCGTTCTTGAAACAAACATTATATCAGAACAATTGTACTGTTAGCAGGCAATTTTCAAATTTGGAGATAGCAAGAACTGCAGATGCTGGAGTCAGAGACACCACAGTGTGGAGCTGGAGGAACACAGCAGGCCAGGCAGCAGAGAGCAGGAAAGTTGGGTCAAAGTTTGGGTCAGGACCCTTCTTCAGAAATGGGGATGGGGAAGGCAGCTCAGAAATAAATAGGAGGAGGGGTGGGTAGGTGGAATGGCAAGAGGTGAATGCAGGTAGGGAGTGGTGGGGCTGATAGGTGAGAGAGAAGATAGACGGGTTGTGTCAGGTCAAGGAGGAGGTGGGAGGGAGGATGGGTGGGGCTGGGCAAAGGTGGGTGGGGTGATGATAGGTTGGATGTAGGTAAAGGGTAGCGGGGATTGGTCCGTTGGAAGGGTAAGGCAGATAGGTGGGGAAGACGACAGACAGGTTGTGTCAGGTCAAGGAGGCCAGGTTGGATATGGGACGAGGCCGGGGGTGGGGAGATTTTAAAACTGGTGAATTCCATGTTTAGGCCATCGGGCTGTAGGCCTCTGAGGCAGAACATGAGGTGTTGCTCCTCCAGTTTGTGTGTGATGTCACTGTGGCACTGGAAGAGGCCCAGGGCGGGCAAGTCACAAAGGGAATGGGAGGGGAGTTAAAATGGTTGGCAATCCCAAGATGTTGTCATTTGTCGCATACAGAGCACTGATGCTCTCCGACATGGTCCCACCCATGTAGAGGAGGCCACATTGGGAGCAACGGACGCAGTAGACCAAGTTGGAGGATGTACAGGTGAACCTTTGTCAGATATGAAAGGTTAACTTTGGGCTTTGAATGGAGGTGAGGGGGGAGGTGTAGGGGCAGGTGTAGCACTTCTTGCGGTTGCAGGTGTGGTGGGGTTATTGGAGAGTGTGGAGCAGACGAGGGAGTTGCAGAGTGAGCAGTCCCATGAAAGGCAGATGGGGTGGGGAGGGAAATATCTCTTTGGATGTTGGGTCAAATTGCAGATGGCAGAAGTGACAGAGAATGATGCGCTGGATGTGGGGATTGGTGGAGAGGTATGTGAGGACCAGGGGGTTCTGTCTTTATTGTAACTGGGGATGGGGAGGGGTTTTGAGGTCAGAAGTGCAGAAATCGCAAGAGATACGGTTGAGGGCATTTTGATCACCATAGGCGGTCCTTGAAATAAGAGGACATGTGGGATGTCCAGGAGTGGGGCGCTCCATGTTGGGAGCAGATGCGGCAGAGGTGGAGAAATTGGGAGTAAGGGATGGCATTCTTGCAGGAGGGTGGGTAAGAGGTGTAGTCCAGGTAGCTATGGGAGTTGGTGGACTTTGAAATAGATGTTGGTGTTGAGGCACTTAGCAGAGATGGAGACAGAGGGGTCCAGGAAGGAGAGGGAGGTAACGGAGATGGCCCAGGTGAATTTGAAGTTGGGGTGAAAGGTGTTAGTAAAGTTGAGGAACTGTTCGAGCTCGTGAGTGCATGAGGCAGTGCTGATAGAGTCATCAATATAGAGAAGGAAGAAGATGGGGATGGTGCTAGTGTAACAGCGGAAAAGGGACATGTATCCTCCGAAGAGACAGGCATAGCTTGGACCCATGTGGGTGGCCATGGCCACCCCCTTAGTCTGTAGGAAATGAGAGGAGTTAAAGGAGAAATTGTTCAGGGTAAGGACAAGTTCTGTTAAGCGGATGAGGGGGGGTCGGTGGAGGAGGACTGGTTGGGACTACGGGAGAGGAAGAAGCGGAGGGCTTTTAGGGCTGTCTGCGTGGGGGATACATAGTGAAGATGATGTGGTGGAGGCCAGGGAATTGGAAGTCTTGGAGAGGTGGAGGGCGTGGGTGGTGTCTGAGAGAAGATGTTTGGTGGTCACTGGTGGGATCATAAGAGGGCGGTAGGAGGTGTCAGAGTTGGTGCCTGGCTTTGGTGATGTAACGGTCAGTGTGCCATGCCACTACTCTGCCACTCCCCACCCCATTTATCCACGGGTTGGATGATGAGGTTAGGATTGGAGTGGATTGGTCTACTGCATCCGTTGCTCCCAATGTGGCCTCCTCTACATTGGTGAGACCAAGCATAGACCCTGGGACCGTTTCGTAGAGCACCTGTGCTCTGTAAGCGACAAATGACAACAGCTTCCAATCGCCAATCATTTCAATTCCCCTCCCACTCCCTGGGTGACATGTCCATTCTGGGCCTCCTCCACTGCCACAATGACACCACATGCCAACTGGAGGAGCAACACCTCCTGTTCTGCCTCAGAAGCCTACAGCCCGACAACCTAAACATAAAATTCACCAGTTTTAAAGTCTCCCCACCACCAGCCTCATCCCATATCCAACCCTCCCTCTCATTCCTGCCTCCTTGACCTGACACAACTTGTCCATCTTCTTCCCCAACTATCCACCCTACCTTTCCCACCGACCAATCCCCATTACCCCCTATCTGCATCCAATCTATCACCATCCCACCCACCTTCCCCAGACCCAGCCCTCCTCTCTCTATTTCCCAAACTACCTTCCCCCTCTCCATTTCTGAAGGGTCCAGACCCGAAACGTCAACTTTCTTGCTCCTCCGATGCTGCCTGGCCTGCTGTGCATCCTGTGAAAACTTCTGCATCTCCAAATCCAAATATTCCAGTTTATTTTGTTTCCACAAACCTTTGCAGCTGCCAAGAAAACGTGACTGCTGATAGTACGAACCCCAACAAGAATTACAGCCAGTGCCACACCTGCAATTAAGAACAACTTCAGTGAGAGTCATCTGATTGGACAAGTAGCGGGCAGGAATCCTGCATAGACATTTACGTTTGGAGAAAACAAAACAGAACGTGGTATCCCACAGTACCAGAAGTTTGTAGTTCAAGTCAGTGTCCTTCTACCAGGACTGGAAGATGTTAGACGGATAACAGGCTTTAAGAAAGATGCATTTGTTGTCAATGCTACTACTAGATGGAATGCTGTGCGCACACAAACACAAAAATCAGAATGTCGTTATTAATCTCACATCCAGCAGTAAAGTGCTATGCATTACAAATAAAATGTAAATAAAGTTGTGACAGCTAAAGTAATACATGTACATTTTGGAAAAATTATTCCAGCCAGAAAATGCAGAGGGCCCCGGAATTTACATTGCTGCCAAAAAATTTAAAGTTTCTCCTCTGGGTAACTGCAACCTGACTGTACAGAACACTCAAAATTTGAAATAAATTAATCCTCAGTCAGGAGTTACAATCATTTTACCTTCAATTATCAAAATGCCACTTGGGCCAAGGTGGGTAGTGGAGCTAGAGACTATTGAATGTTTGATTTAAAACGAGACTGCTATTATCACAGTGCTTACTTTTGAATCAGAAATATTTTGCACAAAAACATTGGATAGTTTCAGTTACCATCAAGAGTTGGTGAAGTCATGGCTGCAACTATGTACTTGTGCAGATGGATTACGGTTCCCATATTTAATGGCAATGCCATGCATTAGGAATACACACTGAAACAAAAAGTTCCATGATAGGGTGGGAGGTAGGAGAAATTAAAATGGTAACAGAGATAATGGCACTATGCAAAAGGTGGTGGTAATGGGACAAGTAAAGAAACAAACAAGAGGAAGTGCAAATGGAAAGTATCCTCATGCTTTCCACCCTACGACAGATTTTTCGCTCCTTTCACCCTTAGCTTTCCCCTGTCCTCAGTTAAAACCTGTTGGATCTTTAATTTGTTCCAGTTCTGATAGGAGATCACAAACATTAAGCCTTTACTCTGGTCCTCTACACTCAAGCTTCTAACCAAAGTACTTCAGCATTTTCTGCTTTTATTCCACATAACTAAATTCAGACAATATTTCTGGTTAGATTTTCATTGGAAGAAAATCCTTCTATGCAATAGGAGTTCTAAGTTAGTTGTGAATTAGATAGTTTTATGTTAGACTGCTGCAATTTCTGGTTTATAAAATCAGCAAAAATATCTCTAGTATTTGAATGCTCCTTTTCGTTTCCTTTTTGGGTCTACTGTCCAGTGCAGCTTTACACGTCAAAGCAGAACAAATCTCCAGTTGAACAAAAACAAATCCAAAATGATGATTGAAAACTGAATAAAAGTGAGGTCTGAAAATAAAAAAAAAAAAAAAAAAAAAACGATGTACCTCTCCACTTGCAAAAATCAACATCCATAAATACCTGGATGGTTAACAAAACCAAACAACTAACAGAGGAAATAAAAATGTATTTATTATGCGTGAAGGAAAATTTGGTAGAACAAAATAGGGAAAAAAATGCATCAACCTTGTGCTTTTTGTAGCTACTGGATCTCAAAGCTCTTTGCAGCCAAAGAGATACTTAAATAAGTATATTAACTGTAGAAAACACAGTAGTCAAAGCAAACTTTCATGAACACAATGACTAGCTAATCCATTTTTGTGCTATTGATTGTGAAATAAATACTGGGGTAACTCTCCTGCTCTTCAAAGGACTTTTTTACATCCATCCAATCAGGCCAGGAGGGCCTGGATTTAATGTCTCCTCTAAAAGACACCTCCAACAATACATTGTTTCCTTACTACTGCATTGGAACGTCAGCCTTGATTTTTTTGTATTCAAGCCTTGGAGTGAGACTTGAACTTGAAACCTTGAGATTGGATGGCAAGTCTGCCACTAAGTAATAGGTGTTGCACTAATTCAGGCAGAGAATCTTAAAATATAGACCATGTTAACTGCATTATTTGAGATAAAGAGCAACAAATAATTTATTCTCAAAATACAACAGGCAGTCATGAACAAGTTAACTAAATATATCAGACAATATTGATGAGACCAAACCATAACAGAGTTTTAAGTAAGCACAAGTGCAGACACACCATACTAACCAGGGAAGATATAAGCATTATTTCCTTGTCCTGGTTGAAATACACGTCCATCTGGCAGAGTCACCGAGTCAAATGGACTACCGCTGGCAAAAAGGCACCTTCCCTATAAAACAGGCAATTAAAAAAACAAATATAGCATCTAAAGATGTAAGCAAATTTGCCATTTAACTTCATGTTTTCCAAGTGCAGGTCATGTTTAGGGTTTTTTTTTAATATCACAAATGTTTGAAGGAGAAAAGCTACATTTAAGTGTCAGGGTATTTGAAGGGAAGTGTATCCATACAAGTTTTGTGTTTTAAAAATATACAGCAAGGCAAAAGGCATTTAAAACACTCTCCATAGCCCAACCGAGTTCAGGAACTAAAAATAAGATAGACAAACTGACTTTTCAACAATTGAAAACAAGCAAACAGAAATTGCTGCCAAAACTCAGCAGGTCTGGCAGCATCTTTGGGAAGAAAGCAGAGTTAGCATTTTGAGTCTGGTGATGTTTCATCAGAACTGATAGCAGCTAGGAAAAACTGGGTATTTAAACTGCACGAGGTATGACTGTGCTAAAAAGCAACCAATGTTGTAACAGAAATGAAAACAAAATTGTTGGAAGAAACATAGCAGGTCTGGTAGCATCTGTAGAGACAACAGTCTTAACATTTCGGATCCAGCGACCCTTCTTCAGAATTGCCGAGTCATTTTTAGCAATTTGTTTTTGTTTCCGATTTCCAGTATCTGTAGCTCTTTGGGTTTCTTCCATGTCACGACAGGACTGGGTGTAAAAACAAGCATGGATGTAATCAGGCTTCAAAAAGTTATTTTTGATCTTCCAAGCAGAAAATGAGATACTGCGTATTTTACTTCCTAGTTCAGCAACTGTAACAATACTACAATTTGGTTGACTCTTTCCCCTGCTTAATGATATCACGGTTGCTCTGTGCTGAATGATCTCCTTGATTTTGGTGTAAATTTACATCAACATTGGGAAAGGTTAAGCCCAAGTCAGAGAATGTTAGATTTTTGCAGCTTTGTTCTAGAATAGCAGCAAGCAGCATCACTTTGCTGCTGAAACAAAATCTGTGCCATTTAATCAATCAAGACAAGCCACTTGTGCAGCAACACAATGTGTTCATTATTTTGTATGATAAGAAAATTAGTTGTACTGATTGAACTAAGTGGGTTTGAGCATACTATTTGGCCAAATGTTCACTTGCTTCATTTCTGGTCTTGGCTTCCTATGGTGTTTACTCAGCCCACTTTCAAAAGAATCGAAGGCACGTACATAAACTTGTCTTTGGACACAAATATCCAGTCAGAACAGGAAGAGAAATGACCAATACATCCTGGATTATGTCACCAAATGGTCTGATTGAGAAACACAGACACATCCCAAAATACAAGAAACATAAACCACTTACACAAGTGACAGGCACTTATGTAAATCCAAGGCAAGACAGTCAAACAGTTACTTGGGACATTTTGTTTAACTAATATCTGTAGTGCAAAAAGTCGCAAGATGTTTTATGGAAATAATGTAAAGCAAAAAACTTAAGATGTAAGGAGATGCGGCAGATGGCCAACTATATAGACACAAGGAAGATTTTAAGGAGTTTTTTTCTTAAGTGGAGGAAAAATTTAGGAAAAAACAAAAATGGATGGATCTAGGGAAGATGTTCCAGAGCTTAAATCTTTTGCAGCTTGATACACAGAAACCCATGGAGGATACTCAAGATTTATAACAGGCAAGAATATGGCAAAGGCTTGAGAGACGTGGAGATTACAGAGATAGGGAAGATTGAGGCACTCTTCAATAAGGAGTCAGACGTGTAGGTCATCAAGGACCAAATCCATGGCTGCTTTCTCAGCAAAGACATCAAGGGAAGGAGCTAATTCAACTGCACCATTTCAGGGGTCAACTTGAGCACAGGATGGAGCCTATTAAGACATGCAAGGAAATTCTTACATGCAGCTTTGGATATCATAACATCCAAAATCCAACCACAAACTATTAATCCTGCCAAAAAGCAAAAAATTATTATTACACTGTTGAACCTGCAGTTATTTAAGCATTTAGTAATGGGGATCTGGGAACACAGAATGGTTATTTTAAAATCAATTATTACTCAACATGTTTATGGAGGTGATATTGAATCATTTGCCAGACAAAAGGACAAATATAAATTTAGGACAATTTACAACTTAATCGCAGGATTTGATTATATGCTTAAATCAGAGTAGGGTTTGAATTATAAAATAGATATAAAAATTACAGGAAGAATGGAGGGATGATATCAATTGATTAAACAACTGAACTGAAAATCACAGATGGCATAAACTGGATTTATTTCTTTCCTCAAGAGAACTTGTCATATGGAGTTTGAAAATTTAGTGTTCTGTCACTGTGGCTCGAGTGGCAGTACACTCTTGTCGCAAAGTTTCAATGTTCTGGTTTAAGTCTCAGGCCAGGGTTTGAGCATAAATGTCAACACAGATTCCAGTGAACTATTCTACTTTGGAGGAAGGTGCTATCTCCGAGATGCGATGCCACCAAAATCCCTTCTGTCCTCAGGTGAATGTAAAAGATCGTAAAGGCATGGCACTATCTTAAAGAAGCACAGTGGATTTATTCCTGTTTTGGCCCTTACATATCCCTCAATCAACATCACAAAAAACAGATTAACCGGTCACCATTATATTGCTCTATGCAAATTGTCTGCTATTTCCTACATTACAACAGTGACTGCATTTCAAAATGTACTTCATTCATTGTAAAAGTCTTTAAGACAGCTGGTGTCATTAAAAAAAAAAACACAATGTAAAATGCAAGTCTTTGTTTTTCAACGGCAAATGAGGGAAGAACACAATTTGTCACAATACCTCAGTTAAAGTATATGCATCCTCTGCAGTACATTCAGCTTTCTCTGTCGGATTACTTAGTGCAAAAATTATAGGTCGTTCATTAATCCTTCCCATGGCATTAATCACATCTTTGCTAAACAGTCTTCCAGCACCTGCTACCCCTGCCAAGAACAAATTGAACAAAGTCAACCTTTGTTGGGAGACGTGGGGAGAGGGGCGAGATGGCGGGAGAGGGGTGAGACAAAAAAATGGAGGGGAATGAAAGGGAGAGAGCAGCTCATATTTTGACCATAAACATGAGTAATTTATAATACATCAACTTCACTGCAGTGTCTTTTTGGTTTACACTATAAATTTTAAACATTTTCACTTTATCTATACTGAAATTGTTGAAATTAGGATCAATGCAAGAATTAACGTTTCAAGCATTTTACCAAGTCACAGTACAATTTTTGAACGTTATTTTTGTTAGAATTTAAAGTTTTTTGTCATGGAAAGGTTTAAACTCGTACAGAAGATGAAATACAGAGCTTATATGAAAGAGATTCAAAATTTTAACAAAAACAAGCTTACAAGAATATTGAAGTTGTGCTAATTTATATTTATTTTAGATATTTTTTGAATTACGATCAATTGCAAAAAGTTAATCAGAGGATATCTACAACGTTTAAGTGCAGTTTAAATATTTATTCTAAATAAATTATGTTTTCTGCAGAAGTAAATCATTTTAAATAATATCCCAAACACTGACTCTGCTCCTAGATCCAGTTTCAGCACCAGGAGGATATTAATATTCTTACAAGTTATTTCACAAGATAACAGGCATAAAAATATCTTTCAAAAAGAATTGTATACACAATCTTTAATGCTAATGATAATAGTTACACATATATTGGAAGAAATTCTGGTTTAAAAAAAACTGAGTGGAGAATTTACAAGTTTATTTTTAGAAACAGAAAATGAGCAAGAACATGACACTGAAAACAGAAGTTTTAAAGAAATAGACAAGAATGAAAAAAAGAGCGAGCTAGTGTGGTCCTTTGTAGGGGATGAAGGGGTGCAGGTGGGAAATAAGAAACAAACCAAAGTTGATACTGTGGAAAAATGGGTAAAGCTACAGAAGTGAAAAGCTGACTAGAAATTCCAATGGAGTTACAGGTAATAAAGGCATGGACTTGGAAGGTCACAATACTTTCAAGATCTTCATAGAAGACAGATGTTTGTGATGGAGTGTGACTTAATAACTCTGAACTATCAATTTAAAATATATACAATTATGCCAATAGCAAAAACTTGGGACTGCTGCAGTTCACAATCCCCAAGAGCAGTGTTCTGCTGTTCAACATTGAGATTGTACATCGTGTTAAAGAAAAGTTCTTAATACACTTCCACAAGCACCATTTGAAATTAAATCTAAGAAGCAGCAAATGAAGCCATTTCCATATATTCTATTGTAGCTTTTACCACTTACCAATAATAGCAGTGGGCTGTAAAGTATTAACTGCATCCAGAAATGTCTCAATTTTCTGATCAGGTGCAGTGTGGACATAAGGTTCTTGGTTTTTGTCAATTGGCTGCGATCGACCCTATAGTCGAAAGCAGCACTGTTAGAATTTGACTGCAACATTCATACTTGGTTAATTGATAACTGAGGAAGAGTTAAAGGTTTCTTTCTAAATAAATAAGCTATGTGCTCGTTTTTCCCCCACTGGATTTTCTAAAGACATACACCATCAACAATCCAGATAATGATGAATAAGCAAGTACCTGATAAATTACATAATAACTAATGTAATTCAAAGTGTTTTGAGATATTTCAGGATAGGATAGGTGTCTTCCGTTTTTGGATAATAAGCTATACTAACATTTCTGCACTAATCATCTAGTATGCAGAACAGTAATTGATATTTATATGGAAATTATAAAACAGTTATCTATGATTTTCCAGAAACCACAGAACAGATGGCATTAAATGTAATCACTTAAAATAACTGAACTGCAACTATCACTGCACATTTTATATTTGCACATAATTCAGAGGGAGTGTAACAAAGAACCTGGGCACAGATTCATTTCTCCTTTTAAGAAATTTGTTCAAAGCCAATCTAAATCAGGAGGAAATAATTCCTCTCAATGCTTGCAAATACTCAACTATTTTTGTAATCAATTTCCTCAAGCGAAGGAAGTTAATGTTAACTCAAGTTATAGATTACTTTGATAAGTTTTTTATAACTTTCGATATCCAGTTTTGAGGTGTTACGCTGGCATTTTTGGTTGCCTCAAACCATATTTTTGGAGATGGTTAAGCATTTGAAATATGCAGGATAACAAACAGATCACAACTTTTGAGTTGTGCATTTCCAAACAAGTTACTTCTTGATCATCAACTTACTTTGGAAGAAATATGGTGGTACATAATTGAAATTCAAATATATTGACCCTCCTCTTTGAGCATAAGAACATAAGAAATAAGAGAAGTAGACTATTGAGCCCCTCAAGTCTGTGCCACAATACCACAAAATCATGGCTGATTTGACCCAGACCTCAAATCTTCTTTCATGTCAGCTCATCATACCTCCTCTTCAAATGCTTTTCATCTCTCTCTGGAGTAGAAAATCCCAGGCTTCACAACCCTCTGGGAGAAGAAATTATTTTGTATCTCAGTTTTAAATCAGCACTCCCTTATTTTACGAATACGTCCCCCTAAATGAGACTCTCCTTAATTTCTCCGAGTTTCACCATAAGACCACAAGACATAATAGCAGAATTATGGCATTCAGCCGGAGTCTGGTCTGCCATTCTATCTTCACTGACATATGGTTCTCCTTATCCATGTGGATTGAGGAGAGAGAGTATTGGTCGTGTCTTTTTGGAGCCAGTTGGTGTTCGTGTACCCTTGTTGTTAGTTTCCTTCCTGTTTGTCCGATTGTAGTATTTCTCAGTCTCTGCAGGGGATCTTATAGATGACATTGGTCCTGTCCATGGCAGGGTGTGGGCCTTTGGTTCGGGTGAGCAGTTGTCGTAGGGTTGACGTGGGCTTGTGTGGGCACTCTTCTCAACTCACATGGATAAGGAGAGTGACCAATTCTATTAGGACAACACCAAAATCCTGGGACAAGCTAAGCAGAGACAGGCACGGGAATTCCTAGAAGCCTGGTACTCCACGAAGAAAGCCATCAATAAACACAGAGCTCAGTCCACTACAAAGGAAAACCGGAAGGGAGGCAATCCAGCTCAACGGACTCCAGAGTTTAAAACCCAGGAGGGAAAACACACCGACGCTTCATCGGAGACTGCACTGATGATGTTACCCAGCAGGGTAGTGAAACGTCTGCGAAACAACAAACCAGCTCGGCAAGCCAACCAACGTTAACCTTAAGGGCCAAGTGTAACACTGTGGCTCAGTGGTCAGCACTGCTGCATCACAGCGCTAAGGACTCAGGTTTGATGCACAGTTATCCATGGCTGGAAAACTCCAGCAGTCATTCTCAAATGTCTGCAAAGGTTTTCTCCAGGTGCGTCATTTTCAAACCATAATTCAAAGATATGCAGGTTAGGCCAGGCCAATTGGCCATGCTAAATTGCTCCAGTGTCCAGGGATGTTCAGATTAGGTGGATTAGCCACGGCAATACGGGGATTACAGAGATAGGGCTTAGGGGCAGCTGGGTCTGAGTGAGATGCTCTTTAGAGCTCAACGCGGACTCTATGGACCAAATGGCCTCTTTCTGCACTTTAGGAATTCTATGATTCTAATCCTGAACTCGGACTCCCCAGTCCCTTTGAGGTTCAGATTTCCAAAGCCTTTCCCCAATTTAGAAAACGGTCTACGCTTCTATTCTTTCTACCAAAGCGCATAACCTCACACCTTCCTACCCTGGATTCCATCTGTTACTTCTTTGCCCACTCTTCTAGACTGTCCAAGCCCTTATGCAGCCTCCCCATTTCCTCAACTCTACCTCCACCTATCTTTATGCCACCTTCAAACTTAGCAACATTAGCAACGTGATTAGTTGCAGCCCCAACATGGACCCTGTGGAATGCCACTAGTTACTGGCTGCCATCCTGAAAATCTATGTGTCCTATATCCATACTCGCTGGCTTCTGCTAGTCAGCCAGTCCTCTATTCAAGACCAAAGACAGGTGAACCTGCCTATAGTTTCCTGTGATAACAAGGTGTACAGCTGGATGAACACAGCAGGCCAAGCAGCGTCAGAGGAGCAGGAAGGCTGACGTTTCAGGTCTAGATCTTCTGCCTCCTTCCCTTCTTAAACCGGGTGTTGGATGATGAAACCCAAAACATCATACCTGCCAATTTCAATCTGCACTACAAGCTCATTTACCTTGTTTCATATGCCGGTGGCACAGTGGTTAGCATTGCTGCCTCACAGCGCCAGGGACCCGGGTTCAATTCCAGCCTCGGGCACCTGCCTGTGTGCAGTTTGCACATTCTCCCCGTGTCTGCATGGGTTTCCTCCGGGTGCTCCAGTTTCCTCCCACAGTCCAAAGATGTGCAGGTTAGGTGGATTGGCCATGCTACATTGCCCGTAGTCCTCAGGGAGGTGAAGATTAGGCGGGTTTTAGGGGGATGGGTCTGGGTGGGATGCTCAGAGGTTCAGCGTGGACTTGTTGGGCCAAAGGGCCTGTTTCCACACTGTAGGGATTCTATATACAGTGCGTATTTAAGTACAACACCTTCAGTCCTGCATTGATTGCCTCCCTTCTCATCGTTGACCCCAAAGTTAGATTCCTGACCCTTCCCATATCCTGTCCTATTGTTGTGGAAACTTTTAAACAACTTCTGCTGAGCCCTCCACCCTTTAACTTTGTCCATAATTTTCCACGTCACTGAATCCACCACTGCCACTTTAGTTTCAAACCCTATCTACAGCCCTAGTTATATGATATGGATTCCATCCTATCACGACAGCTCCCCACTTCCCCACCAGAGGTGCCAACATCCCATGAATTCAAATCCATTTCTCCCTCACCAATCTTTAACTACACATTTGCCTCTAATCTTGTTGACCCTGTATGAATTTGCTTGTGGCTCAGGTATTAATCTGAAAATAACTACCTTTTTGGTTCTGATTTTTAATTTACCCCCTCGCTGCTCAAATTCCCTCTGCAGAACCTCTTTCTTCTCGTATCATTGGTCCCTACATGGATCACAGCAACTGGATCTTTCCCCTTCTACTCAAAGTTCTTCTGCAATGCAGATTATATACCTTGAGCCTAGGCACCAGGCAGGCCACATAGCCTTTGGGACTCTCAATCCTGGCCAACAAAGTGTCTATTCCCCTGACTATACTATCTCTGATTACAACGGTATTTCTCTTTTCTCCCCCTCTTGAATGGCTCCTTGTACTATAGTGATGGGGTCAGTTTACTGGTCCTTCCTACAGCCTCCACTCATCTACACTGGGAGCAAGAATCTCAAATCTGTTAGACAAGTTCAAGGGCTAAGGCTCCCTTAGGTCTTCTGCCTTGCTTTTAGTCGCACCCTCCTGTCCCTGAGAACTGATCAAAATCAAGTTAGTTAATATAAGGGATGCAACTGCCCCTTGAAACACAGCATCCAGGTAACTCTCCTTCTTCATGGTGTGTTGCGTTACAATGTTCAAACTCTGCTCATTGCTTGTGGAACTCAGACTTCGAGTCAATCAAAACTTGCTACAGATGTGGTCACTTAACCACAATGGGATCCACTACCTCCCACGTCATGCAGGTACACACTGTCTGGCCTGGCACCTCTCATTTCATTACTTAGTTCTCAACTTGATTTTTAAAGACTTCTTACTACTCTTCATGTGAATCTTACAAAGTTTGCAATTCAATGACAGAAAATAAGTGATTACATAATTGCAGCTCCATGTGGCCCAAATTTTCCAGTCTCTGGAAAGCTGGGAATCCCCTTGGATGTCCCCATTGCACATCCAGTTGCTTGTTCAGAAGTGTGACACAAAAGTAAATGTTTTAGTTCGCTTGCTCACCTGATAAAGTAAGCCATATTTGTCGAACATCCATATTTTCTTTTGAGCTTCCTCTTCTGATATTCCAGTTTCTTTCATGGCCAGCACAATCAAATCAGCAATTCCCAGGGCTGCCTGCATGAAACAGTAAGAGCAAATCATCACTTGAAATTATTTGCAAAATCATAAAAGCATATACAGAGCTATTCCCAATTTAAAATTTCATGAACTGAAAGGAACTTCAGTTACCTGGATAAAATTGGAGAAGTTAGCTTGAAGAAGAAAAAGTTCAGTTTAAATAGAGATGTTCAAAATCATATAGGGTCTGGACAGAAAAGATGGGAAGAGACTAGCCATACTCAGAAGGATTAAGAATGTTCACTTTTAAAAACTTAGTGGTTGGCTTAGAATTAGAATGCACTGCCTGAAAACTTGGTGCTTGTAGATTTAATCCTGGCTTTCAAAAAAGTAGTTACTAGAAAACTAATTGCATGGCTACAGGGAAAATGGAGGTTGGTGGGGTAGTTGTTGGTGGTGGTGGCGGCGAGGCTAGCTAAGTTGATTTTGGGGACAGCTGGCACAGACACCAGTTGAATGGTCTCCTTCTGCACTGTAGTGATTCTATGAGAAACCACATAGAGCAGCACAAACATGATTGTCAAATTAGGCAGAATTTCCTTTTTATTTTCCAATCTCCAAAAGCTGCTTAAGTATTTGCTAAATTTTGGCAGACATTTGAAAAATAAACTGAGAAGTAGGATCGGCAATAAATATATAACATTGTGACAAAGGAACATCAACCTGAAATGTGAAATGATCTTTTGTCCACAGGTGTTGCCAACCTTGCTGAATATTTCTAGCATTTTGTCTTCAATTCAGGTTTCTGGCATCCATCCATAGTATTTTGAGCATTTCAGAGTAAATAAATTTGATGCCAATAACTGCAAGGCATGTGACCACAGAATTACTTTCCTCCTCAATTGAAGTCGAGTGATATTTTACAGTCAGTGGCCAGATGTTGTTTAAATATGGAAGTGAAGAGCAGGACAATTCTGACAGCAACGTTCCAGCTTGTTATAAACTGTACATATGCAGTCTCTAAGTTGCTATTGAATTGCACTTTAAAATGGTGACCTGCAACAGTCTAATCAGTATTTCTACTGCAAAATTCAGTCTTATATTGTGGACTGCATACCTTGTTAGGTTCAGTTCTATAACATCATTACTGTTATGATCCCAACTGTTGTTATTATTGGACAAGTCAGAACCCAGACTGAAATTTTTATTTCACGAGATTGGCTTTCACTGAAAGCCAAGCAATACTGCAGATTTGGTTTTAGTAATAAGACAGGAAGTTTGTTACATAAGAGAAGTGAATAAAAAAAAAAGAACAAACCAAGCTATTCACACAACACAATATCCCATCTACCCCACAATATTCTTTTACAGTTCAAACACAAGACCAAATTCTCTTCTCTATCATGTCCACAAGTTTGATTTGACTGCTGATTTCAATTTTGTCTTGAGTATTTCATAGCATCTTCCTTGTGTATTGACAGAATGGAGCTTAGATTTTGTAAAACTGTCCCAATACAAAACAATTCCCATCACCACTTCAGGAAGTCTCTCTTTCTCTCTAACTGATATTTTATCCAGAACCATAAATCCAGGAATGCTGACAAACTCACCATAAAACCATCCTCTCTCACACAGACCAAAACCCATTTGCCACAAGTTCAAAACCAAAAACTTTTAAATTAATGATGAATAAGCTATGTATAAATCACACACCTTGCATGCCATTAGGAATCTCCACATTTCTTTTGGCTTAAAATTGGTATTTATACTTCACATGAGCCTCCTCTATTTTTCTTCACTATAACTCACCAACTTATACTTCTACTGTTTCCATCATATTTTTGTTTGCACAACCTTAAAATGCATCAACATTATCCATTCTCCCAGTTTCTCGGTCTCCGTTGCATTTGTTCAGATGACGCCAACTTGGACAATGGAGTCTTTGAAACGTCCACCGTCTTCCTCAACCGAGCATTCTCCAGCACTGTTGTCAACAGGGCACTCAACTGGGTCCGAACCCTCATCCGCACTTCCGCCCTCACCCCTTCTCTTCCCTCCCGCAACAGTGATAGGGATCCCCTTGTCTTTACATACCATCCCACCAGCATCCACATCCAGAAGATCAGACGGCATTTCTGCCATCTCCAGCAAGACCCCACCACCAGACCATACTCCCCTCCCCTTCCTTATCTGCCTTCCGTAGGGGTCATTCCCTCCGGGACACCCTGGTCCACCCTTCCTTCACCCCCAACACCTCCCTCCACTCCCACAGTGGAAAGGCACCTGCCCATTTACCTCCTCCCTCCTCAGTATCCAGGGGCCTAAACGTACCTTCCAGGTGAAGCAACACTTGACCTGCACTTCCCACAATCTGGTCTCCTGCATTCACTGCTCACAATGTGGTTTCCTCTACATTGGGGAAAACAAAGCATAGGCTGGTGACCATTTTGCAGAACATCCACGTTCTGCCTGCAAAAAAGACCCTGAAAACTTCCTGGTGCCTGCCACTAACTCACTATCCTGTTCCCTGGCCAGCATCTCTGTCTCAGGCTTGCTGCAGTGTTCCAGCACAGCTCATAGCAAACTGGAAGAACACCACCTAATTTTATACTTTGGGACTGTGCAGCCCTCCAGACTCAATAATGGGTTCAATAATTTTTCGGGCCTGAACTCTGCCATTTCCTATCCCCCAACCCCACATGCCAGGCCTTGTTATCAGTCTGCCATTGCACACCACCTATTGTTAGCCGCTAAAAGTCTCCACGAACAACTATTCACTCTCCCAGCCAGACTGTTAGCTAATCCTTTGTCTGTCCAACTGTTCTTCCCTTTATTTAGGCTCTATCCTGACCTATCGTTTACTCCTTACCCACACCCTATCTTCTGCATATAAAATGAACATTTTCCTAGCTACCATCAGTTCTGAGGGTGGGTCAATGGACCCAAAACATTAATTCTGATTTCTCTTCACAGATGCTGCCAGACATGCTGAGCTTTTCCAGCAACTTGTTTTTGTTTCTGATTTGCAGCATCTGTAGTTCTTTCGGTTTTTAATATTATCCATTTGTCAGAATCACACATTTTCACCACTCTAGTAAATAAGCTAATCTTTATTTTATTCCACTTTAAATCTAAAATCTATGAAGGAAATGTCCACATTTTCATCAGCACCTTCTGTCACTCAAGTCAAATGGTTGGGTGCTCCAATGCAGATTCAATTAAGGGTATTTAGAGAACTAGTATCTAACTGGTAACTAGGTGCCAACATGTTTAAGCTGACAAGACAACAGGCTCAACTTGTTTGATATAATTTACAAATAGATCAGTCTAAACAATCTGCTTTAGGCTGGTGAGGTCACAGCTAATGTGTCCACTGGATGTGCACAAAGCTGGAAGATTTTAATGAGGCAGACACTACTTTTACTGCATCTCAGATTTAAACATAACAATTGACAGTATTATTTAAAATAGCACCTACTACATTGTTCCCTGCATGTAATAACTCATGAATATATGCAGGTCTTATGTCAGAGATTCCACATTAATTTACAAAGTATCATGTACCTGATTTCAGGATTCCCTGGTTGAACAGTCCTCATGACAGGCTTAAAACAGTTTTCTCCTGTTACAGCCTCCTTTGTCTCCTCACCACCCCTCTTTAGCCTCCTTTATATAGAGACAGGACGAAGCCATTTGGCCTTTATCCTGCTCCACCTTTCAAGATGTTTCTGCTTTCTCCCCATACAGTTGATCTCTTTTGTCTTCAGTGCTAACTCCTTGAAAACATTTCAAGTTTTGGCTTCAAGCACGTTCTGTGACAGAATTCCACCACTCTCCGGGTAAAGAAATTTTTCCTTGTTTTAATCCTAAATAGCCTACCTTGTACCCTGCGACCATGACCTCTGGATCCAGACTCTCCAGCCATCAGGAATATCCTTCCTTCATTTACCTGGTTTAGTCCTTTAGAATTTTATAGGTTTCTGTGATTTTCAACCCCCACCCCCTCATTTTTCTAAACTCCAGTCCTAACCAATCCAGTTTTTCTTCATAGGTCAGTCCTGCTACCCCAGGAATCATTCTGGTAAACTTCTGTTGCACTCCTTCCATAGCCACAGCATCCCTCCTCGGATAAAGGAGGCCAAAACTGCACATATCTCAGAAATGGTCTCACCAAGGCCCTGCACAATTACAGTCAAACATCCTGCTCCTGAACTTGAATCCTCTCACTATGAAGGTCAACACTGCCTTCTTCACCACCCATTTGTATCTGCACGTTTACTTTCAGCAACTGGTATACGAGGACACTCGGGTCTTGTGTCCCTCTCCCTTTCCTGATCTATCACCATTCCGATACATCTTCCTGTTTTTGCTACCTCATTATCTACATTATACTTCAGCTGCCATGCATTTGCCCTCTCACTCAGCTTGTCCAAATCATACTGAAGTATCTCTGCATCTATGTCCTAATGAAGGGTGCAAACCTGAAACGTCGATTTTCTTGCTCTTCTGATGCTGCCTGACCTGCTGTGTTCTTTCAGCTCCATACTGTATTGACTGACTCTAGCATCTGCAGTTCGCTATCCCCCTTGCACCCAGCTTTGTATCATCTGCAAACTTGGAGGTATTACATTTAGTTCCCTCATCAAAATCATCAACACATTATAAATTGGGATCAGTGCTAGGACCCCAGCTATGTAACCTACTGGTCACTGGCTACCACTTGGGGAAAAAGACTTCTTTATTCCTACTTTTCCTTCCTTGTCTGGAGAGTACTTCTCTATCCATGTCTGTACGTTACACCCAATCCCTGTGCTTTAATTTTACATGCTAATCTCTTAAGTGGGACTTTTATAGAAAACCTTCTGAAAGGTTTTCCATCAGTGTACCACCATGATTAGTGCTGGAGCACTTGCTTTTTGTCACATAAATTAATGAAGGACTTGGATGTGAATGTAAAAAGGTTTAATTAGTAATTTTGCAGAAGACATGAAAATTGGCAGTGTTGATGACAGTGAGGAGGATGGCCTTAGGCTACAGTCTGATATTGATCAGCTGAGCAATGGCAGAATTTAATCTCGATAAGTGCAAGTTGATGCATTTTGGGAGGTCTTGTAATGGAAGAATATACACAAACGAATGGTAAGTCCCTGTGGAGTACTAAGGAACAAAGGCGCTTTGGTCTACAAGTCCACAAATGCCTGAAGGTAAGAGCCAAGGTAGACAGCGTGGTGAAGGCGGAATATGGTATGCTTGTCTTTATTAGACAGGGCACAGAAAATAGGAGGAAGTCTTGTTACAACTTTATAAAAACACTGGTTAGGCCACAGATGGAATACCGTGTGTAGTTCTGGTCGTCACACAATTGAATGATGTGATTGCACTGGAGGGGATGCACAGGAGATTCACCAGGATGTTGCCTGGGATGAAAAGTGTCAGTTACGAGGAGATACTGGATACGCTGGGTTATTTTCCTCGGAGCAGAGGAGGCTCAGGTAGCATCTGATGGGGGTTTACAAAATTATAACTGGCATAGGTATAGTAGATTGGGAGAATTTCTTCCCCATGGCAGACGTTTCTAAGAACAGAAAGTATAAAGTTTAAGGTGAGAAGAAAGTGGTTTAGAGGAGATCAAGAAAACATTTTCTCGTACAGAGGGTGGTAGATACATGGAACTCACTGCCTGAGAGGGTGGAGGCAGATGCTCTGGCAACATTTCAATAAGCATCTAGATGAGCACTTAAAATGTCAGGGCATAGTAGGCAATGGACCAAGTGCGTGTAAATGGGATTAGTGCAGTTTGGTGTTTGATGGCCAAAGGGCCTGTTTCTATACTGTATAACTCGGACTAAAACCATGCTGACGCCACCTGGTTGAATGATTATTTTCTAAATAGCCTGCTACTAACTCCTTAACAATGAATACTCATCTTTTTCACAATAGCAGCTGTTGGATCAAATGCCCTATAGTTTCCTGCTTTATGGCACCCTCCTTTCTTAAACAGGATGACAAGACCTTAATGTTCAAATAATAATACTGCTCCATTACTACACCTCGTGGCCTAGCATGCATCACCAAGATAACTAGCGGAAACAGCAGCATGAAACAGATGCTAAAAATCAACCCATAATGATGCGCGGCAACTTCAAAAAGTAGCACTTTTTTCCTTCTTTTTCATTCACGGGATGAGGGCGTCGCTGGCTAGGCAGCATTTATTGCCCATCCCTAATTACCCAGAGAGCAGTTCAGAGTCAACCACATTGCTGTGGATCTGGAGTCACATGTAGGCCAGACCAGGTAAAGATGGCAGCTTCCTTCCCTAAAAAAGACATTAGTGAACCAGATGGGTTTTTTTTCCCCCAACAATCAGCAATAGATTCATGGTCTTCATTAGACTCTTAGTTCCAGATATTCATTGAATTCAAATTCCACCATCTGCCACGGTGGTATTCGAACCCAGGTCCCCAGAACATTATCTGGGTCTCTGGATTAACAGTCCAGCGATAATACCACAAGGCCATTGCCTCTTGTGGGGAAGCTTGTCTCTCAAGGATTTACCTTCTCAGTCACCAGAAAGTCTGCCATATGAAGACACCCCATGAGAAAGAGATTTATTTGCCGTGTCCCCATTGGTGGAAGGATGCCAGCTAACTGGTAAATCGATTGTTACCACAGTGATGGTCATTCATAATATGCGTTCACTCTTCCTATGCTAGTATTCACACAGTAGCTGCACCTAATTAAAATCAGACCCCTTTCCATTTGTGCAAATAAATGCAAAACAAGAATCAGCAGCGAATACAAACAGAAACAACACAATCATAAAATTTGTCTTTTACTGTTTGGTTTAGTTTTAACAATGGCAGTAGTTGCATTGACAAATATGCCTTCACTAAGATCTGCATAACTTGGCTGCTAAGCACAGGAAATCATGCCAGATAATTAATGAGAGCATTTCACAAACTCATTTTCCACCCAAAACATACATCTTGGTTGCAGAATGATAATCTGGATATAGGAATCAAGAAACAGGCTCAAGGCCTGTTCACCAAACGCTTCATCATTAGCTCAGCATCAAATCCACCCACATAGCTTGTCATACTGTATCCAGTTTCGCAGGTGGTGTTAAAGGGAAAGAAGTAAACTCACCTCCCCTGCTCCTAGGAACAAAAACCTGTGATCCTTGATTGGTCTGTTAATCACTCTCTGGGCTGAGAACAGTCCTGCCAGTGCTACTGCTGCTGTGCCTGTGTAATACAAAAGCAACACTAGGTGGCAAGCGTTGACTATATAAAGCAAAGGAAGACAAGTTTAAAATCAGCTTCAAAGAACTTGCATCTGCTGGTTACTTTAAACTAAAAATCAATTATAGATTTATTTTGCTTAAACATAGGTGTAAATTACAAATAAAGTGACAGAATTTAGATTTTATGTCCCAAATGTTCCCATCATTGGACTCCCTTTCCTTATCTTGATCATAAGAAAAATCTGCCCACTTGCCTGCCTCCTATGATGGAGGATGCTAAAGGACTCAGTTGGGCAGCAAACCTTAGACATTTAATGAATGATCTCAGTGAAGCCACATCTGGTTTTTGCAGCATTAGCTGTCATATTCTGAAGTGTTTATAAAACATACAAAACGCTTGGGATATCAAAACAGCTTTTCAATTTGTGGACGAATGGTTGAACACCTAGCTAAACTCAGTCTTGAAGCTACAACCAGATCATGGTTCGATAGCATTGCAGATTCAAGAAGCAGGATATAAATTAAACAGAATGGCTGTGACAAACTAGAATGATTTTAGCCTTGCAACATTATTGTCAAGATTAAAAAGACCTGTCTTGCTTGAAACATTAATATTTGATATTGGCCACGGCTAGATCAGGGTAGATCACATCTGTGGCACTACAAGGGGTTCTCCTATAAAACTTTTTTTCTGGCAACACGAATTGGCTATAAACGCGACTGATGAATAGGAGAACAGTATTTGTAAAACACGAACTGTGCTGGCGATAACACGATTCCAATGTCGGCATCACATGATTGGTTCACAGGCTTTGTCCTGACCGTGCACCAAGAGTCCCTACACTAGCATCAAGGATCCTCGTGCTGACTGAGGCACTGTACAATTCTGCCATATTGCCCACAAAATGAGAGGACAAAGTAGCAAGAATGATAACAAGCAGCATCCTGGTAATAAAATTGAGGGTACTGTATATAAAAGAAAGGCTATAAACAATGGAAGAGAAGATAGATGTTGTAAAGCATTTTGAGCGTAATGAAAGAACATGTGATATTGCTCGTGCAAGAAGAATGAAGGAGTCTACCTTACGCACCACTGGAGGCAATGCAGAAAAGATTAAAGCAAGCTGTATTGCTGGAACAAGTCTGAGTGCTAGCAAGTCTGAGGTCACAGACAGAGGAACTTGGGGAGATGATGTGGTTTCTAAATGTGTGGATAGAAGAGCAAACAAAGAAGCGATCGGAGTCTTATCAATTTATGAAGATCTAACAAAACAAGCTGAAAAATCCTGCAGATGTGCCTGCTTTTAGTGCTAGCAGTAGCTGGTTTTAAGAACCGCTATGCTTTTCATAACGTAAAGTTATATGGCGAAGCTGCCAGCGCAGACAAGGAGCATGCGATGGCATTCCCTCCCATAGTAAAAAAAAAAAATTGAGGAAGGAGGCTACAACTGAGATCAAATTTTCAGTCTGGATAAGACAGGTTTATATTGGAAGTGAATGCCATCAAGAACCTACATTTTTATGAATGAAGCACACGCGTCAGACTTTAAAGGTGGCAAAAGGATCGTATGACTGTGCTGCTGGGTGCCAATGCCAATGGAGCTCAAGCCTGTGATGGTGTATCACTCGGCCAACCCACAAGCCTTGAAAGGTTACCTTAGGTCTACTCTAGGCACCTACTTTAGATCAATTGTTCCAACATTCTTCACAATGAAATAATTTCTATAACCTTGGACTCTGCCTCTATTATAGGACCATAAGAAATACGAGCAGGAGCGAGCCATTTGGCCCCCAAGCCTGGTCTGCCATTCAATGGGATCATAGTTGATCTGACATTCCTCATATCCACCCTCATGTCCTTTCCTCATAACGTTTGATTCCCCAAATGATCAAGAATCTACTCAGCCTTAAACATACAGAAGGACTCTGCCCTCACAGCTCTCTGTAGCAAGGAGTTCCAGAGACTCTCAACCTCTTCTTTCTCAATCTTAAATGGTCACCTCTTTATTCTGAAACTATGCCCTCGGGCACTATTCTCCCATAAGGGGAAATATTCTCTCAGCTTTACCCTGTCAAGTTCCTTAAGAATCCTGTATATTCCAATGAGATCACTTTTCACTCTAAACTCAGTCATTGTAATCCTAACCTGTTCAGCCTTTGCTCATAAGGCAATCTCTGTGTACTGGGAATCACCACTACTGGTCTGCCTTTCCATCCAGAATTTCCTCGATTTATCAGAATATTTACTGAATTTGCATTGACCTAGCTACACCAACCCCATAGTCTTGAATGTTATGACATTTCAAGTTCTCATCCACATACATTTTTAAAAAATATATCAAGGTTTCCCACCTCATATCATCACAGACAGTGCATTCCAGATTCCACCCACCATCTGGGTGAAAAAAGGTTTAACCTCAAACCCCCTTCTAAATCTCCTGTTCTTCACCTTAAAATAATGCCCACTCATCACGGACCCTTCAACTCAGGGAGACTGCTGCTTCCTATCCATGCCCCTCAATCTGATATACCTCAAAATCAGGTGTCCCCTTAGCCTTCTTTGCTCTTGAAGAAACAGCCCAAGCTTATCCAGCCTCTTTCCATAGCAAAAGTGACCCAAGACATCATGGTGAATCTCCTTTGCACCCCCTCCAGTACAAACACATTTTTCCCATCATGTGGCGATCAATAATGCATACAGTACACCAGCTGTGACTTAACCAATGCTTTGCGCAACTCCAACATGACCTTCCTACTCTTATAATATGCACCATGACTGATAAAGGCAATTGCAGTATATACCTACTATACACCTGTCTGGCCACCTTCAGGGACCTGTGAACAAACACTGCAAGATCTGTCTGTTGGTCTGTACTTCCTAGTGTCCCGCTAATCATTGAGTATTCCTTTGTCTTGTTACTTTTTCCAAAGTGCTTCACCTCACCTTTCAGGGTTAAATTTCATTTACTACTGATCTGCCCAAACTATTTATATCATCTAGTTACCCAAGACCTTCTTCCTCACTGTTAACCAGGCAGCCAATCTACATGTCATTCCTGTATTTAATTATCATCCCTCCCACATTCTCATCTATTATTGTTTCTCTCTCTGTCTGTCTGTCTCCCTCTCCCCTTGGGTGATCAGCTGAAGACCTGCCAACATTATTTCTCTTCCCAAAGACTACATTTCTCACCCACCCCATCCTTGAAAATGACTTCCACATTTTCCAGGGTGACATGGTGGCACAGCGGTTAGCAAAACTGCTTCACAGCGCCAGGCACCTGGGTTCGATTCCAGCTTTAAGTGACTAAGTACAATTCCACAATCTCCCCATGTCCGAGAGGGATCAAGCCAAGTGCTTCAGTTTTCTCCCACAGTCCAAAGATGTGCAGAATTGGTGATTTGGCCATGCTAAATTGCCCCGTAGTGTCTAAGGATATGCAGGCTAGGTGGGGTAGTCATGGTAAATGCAGGGTTACAGAGACAGATTGGGGGTTGGGGCTGGGTGGGATAATCTTCCGACAGTCAGTGCAGATTTGCCGAGCCAAATGGCTTCTTTCTGCATTCTAGAAATTCTATGTTTCAATGATCTATAGGCTCCCTTCCCTCTCCAAATTTAAATATGTTGTCATTTCCCAAAGCAGTGCTCATCTTTTTTGGACTTACATTTTAAATTCTTCCAAAAAAGGTTTCAATCCTACCATATTACCAAAATGGCTTCTGCCAAAGCTACGTACGACACCGTAGTTAATTGCAACGCTTGACTGTCATGAAAACTAATCGTAACCATGAATTACATATAGATATATTGAACTTCTGAGTACATTTGTATCTTTCACTTTGAAAACAAATGAACAATGGATGGCCAAGAATGTAAATTCAGTCATCCATTCTGAAGGAGGGGCACAGGACCCAAAAAATTAACTGAATTCTCTCCAAAAAAGCTGACTTTTTCCAGCAATTTCTGCTTTTGTATGTAAATTCAGTGGTTCTCTCAAATTCCTGTGTGGATTACACAACTTTGAGGGGAATCATGGAATATCTCACCCATGGAGAAATAACGGAACTTCAGATAGTGGCAGTTCAAATGTAAAGATGATACTGAAAGAACTGAACTGTGATCTCTTGTGGATGGTATTAAACGCTGCATGTAATAAGAGTCAAAAGAAAGGCCATTCTGGACTAAAGACATGTTTGTGTTTCTAGGAAGACAAGAGGGGTTTAAATAAAAAAAACCCTTGGCCTGTGTGCTAGTACGCTACATTAGTGTCACGTTAGTGCGCTAGCTTGTGGTTCAGCTCCACTCATCGTGTCAAGTCACAGCTCAGAGCTTCCACTATACACCACCGTGTGCAGATTAAAAGAAAAGTCTCTGATGGCTGAAAACAAGGAATAAGTCTGGTCACTGTTGAAAGAAAAATGGACAAACTCTTAGCAGCTAAATGCTGAACCAAGAATCTCCAAACCAGTACTGACTTTGGCAGTTGAGCAGTATCAGAATCACTGATTTTAATGGCCTGATAACCTTTCAATCTTGCTTGACAAGAATCTATTTACTTCTGCCTTAAATACATTGAAGGACTCTGCGTGTACCAAATGTTTCAGGGAGCATTCCAAAGACTCATGACCCTCAAAATATTTAGCCTCATCTCTTATAAGTGTGTGACCCCCGACTGTTGAAGTGAAACCAGTTCTAGATTATCCCATAACAGGAAACATCCTTTCCACATCTACCCCATCAAAATGCTCAGAATTTCACGCTTCAATCTTCTGAACTCCAAGACATTATCCTAAAACAGTGTCAATTTTGGTCAGTCAGCTGACAACACACTCAGCTCTTCAGCATCCCCTTGTTTGATGTCATGTGACTTCACAGGTCCAGACTCAATGTGTCACCACCTCTGCTGGGCCTGCCCTGTCAGTGGATCAGTGATGTTGTCTGAGGCATTGTGTGTAGTCCATTTGGTTTTGTTCTTTTTTAAAAGAGTCAATACAACCAGGAGGCTCACTAAGCCATTTCAGAGGGTAGTTAAGAATCAGCCACATTTCTGTGGGTCTGAAATCACACAGGCCAGACCAGTTTTCTTTCCCTAAAGGATGTCAGTAAGCCAGATAGGTTTTTTAAAAAAAAAACCTCTGAATGATTTTTTATTTAATTCAAATTTCACCACCTGCCATCATGGGATTCAAACTCTATTTCCCAGAACATTACATGTGTTTCTGGATTACAAATCCAGTGACTACCACCAGGTCATCACTTCCTCACATGCAACCTATACCTCTCTTTCAATTCCACTTCTTTGTGCATTCACCTTTGAAAGCCTCTCCCAAGTCAATTAGATCTAAACTTTCAAACCCACAACCTTTGGCTCTTGCCCCTCACCATGATACTTTTACAGCTATAAATCTGTTCAAATTACTCTCTAATCTCGTTTTGACTGCCACTGTCCCCCCCAGCAAAATCATCACTATCAACCATCTTGATCATTCAACCTTAGTACCCTTTTCAGTCTTTCAACTACAAGAGATGTTAAAATATATCTTGGGTGAAACTAGTTAGTTATGATGCTAATCCAAAGATTTTCCTTCCGTTCTCAATTATTTAGTATCATTATTTTAAGTCATTTGCAATCATTACTTTAAACACATTTTATTGCAATGACACTGACCCCAAAACCCATAATCTACACGTTCCATATAACATTTGTCATCATTATCTAGTCTTTGTCACTTGTGTAGGTGTCTAAGGTTCACCAGTTATTTGCACCAAAATTTGAGTGTTTAACTGTTTCAAGTAAAAAAAAAACTTTTTCAGTTGACAGAATCATGTTAGAAAACTTACCTTGAATATCATCATTAAACGTACAATATTTATTTTGGTATCTCCTCAAAAATCTGAAGGCATTTTGATTCCCAAAGTCTTCAAACTGAATAAGGGTATTGCGACCATACCTGTTTTTTTTTTAAAAATTCAATAAATTAGTAGACAGCTAGATTCTGTCAGTCAAATGCATAAAGCTATTAAAAACATCTTTAAATTATTTTATACATTGTTCAACTGTAAAATATAGTCAGTTTTATCTGAAGATATCTGGTTCAATCCCTGGTTGGTGTACGGTTGGAATATCTTAGTAAACATTGTAAGATATGTTTCACTATTCTCCAATAGAGCTACAAAGTGCCTTTGTATCAATGTTAGGCTAAGAGGCATCTGAACTATGATATCACTACTTACTGCCCTGGCTAAAGTGTAAAGAGAGGTCATTTAAAAAGCATGATTGAAAGGAACAAAAATTGGAAGAAAAATAACTATTTAGAAACATAGCTGGACATGCATCAGATGAGAGATTAAGGATTAAATGCACTTATAACCAAAGATAAAAGTGATTGCAATTGTGTTTCTGAATTTGGTTGGACCATCAAGATTTATCACAGGGAGTCAAAGGGGAGACGGATATTGAACTTTAGCTCAGTTTGCCCTGCATACCATTAGAAAATCAATATAATCCATTCTTGCATAGAATGTGCTCTTTATGATACAAGCTTGTTTGGTTAAATTGCTTAGTAGCCCCATGCAGCTTTATCGTTACTAAAATGATCATTGTTAATACAACTAAAAAGGAGATACAAGCCAAAGTTATTGGCTCTTAAAGACATTTCCCCCCTTACTGAAGTATTTAGAACCCTCATTACCCTTCTATAAATGATATAATTAAAATTGAAGACCCTTCGAAGACAAAAACCGTTACACCATTTGTGTGTTCTTCTTTGTGTTTACTAGTTAAGAACCTTCCTTGCAGGAAAATTAGCTAGAGGATTGGGCATGGCAGGCTTCGAGGGCTAAGAGGGTGATACCATAACTTCACTCTGTTCCTGGAAATCACCATAGGAGTGCAACGCCATGAGAGATTGATCAGAATGAAGTATAAAAACTACTGACCAATGTCATCTTATGGGAGTAGGTTAATAGTCTTTGAAAACTCCAAAAATATGCAATAACTAGACATCAATTCCACTTAGCAGATTAGGGTCCAACGGTGAAACAAAAGGTAAAATTATATACCAGAATACTCAGGCTGTATAATTCATAAGATCTCAAGAATTAAAAAAGGAGAAGACTATTTGAGATGATCATTGAGTTACAGAATTATGATGTTACAGGAAGAGGCCATTCAGACCACTGTACCAGTGCCAACTAATTTTAACAGCAATTTAACCAGTCCCTCTCACCTTTTCCCACAGCCCTGCAGAAATTTTTTCTTCAAGTGCTTATCCAATTTCCACCATTCAAAATCACAGCATCCACTCAATAGGGAAGTCCAAAGAAGCATAACCCTTTGAGCTAAAAGTTTTGTTGCACTCTCACTGGCAAGCAATGCTTTCCTTGGGTAAGGAGACCAGAACTGCTCATGATACTTCAGGAGTGACCTCATCAATCCACTTAAAACTGCAAGCTGAAAAAGTACCATTAATTTTCCCTACTGTTTGCCACACCTGCATCTCAACTTTGTCATTTAAGGACATCCACCTCTCTGAATACATTCAATACTTCCCAGTCTCTCAACACTTATAGTAGCTTTATATTTGTTCACCCAGAGTATAAACTGAAATTTCTTCATAGTTTATTTCATCTCCCATATTCTTTTGCACTCACTGAATATGTCTGCATTACTGTGCAATGTATTTGAATCCTCAACCTGCTTTCTCAAATAACTAACTATCTTTGAAAAGGGAAGTGTTGAAGATAAAGGGAAGCTCCCATACGTCAATCAATGGCTACTGATTGATTGATTTATTGTCACATGTACCGTAATACAGTGAAAAGCTTTGTTTACAAGTGGTACAGGCAGATCACAGCAAGCAAAGGACGTACAGATAAAGGCTTAGAGGCATACAGGTAAAATTATTTGAGGCTAGAGTCCATTCAACAGCCTGATAACAGCCGGAAAGAAGCTGTTGCTGAACCTACTCGTGCGTGTGTACAGGTTTCTGTATCCTGATGGAAGAGGTTGTAGGAGGTCATTACCACAGTGTGATGGGTTTTTGATGGTGTTGGCCAACTTTATTTACATGGCTCACTGCCGCAGAGAGTCCATGGATGGAAGGTTGGCTTCTGTGATGGTCTGGTCTGTGCACACCACCTTCTGTAGTTTCTTACGGTCCTGGGCAGAGCAGTTGCCATACCAGGCCATTATGCACCCAGACAGTATGCTTTTAATGGTGCATCTGTAGAAGTTGGTGAAGGACTTTATGGACACGCCAAACTTCCTCAGCTGTCTGAGGAAGAACAGGCATTGTTGTGGCTTCTTGACTGTTGCCTCTACGTGGAAAGTCCAGGACAGGTCGTCTGTTATCGTCACTCCAAGGAAGTCGATGCTCTTCACCCGCTCAACCTCGGTTCTGTTGATCTAGATGGGGACATGTTCTCCTCCTTTCTTTCCGAAGTCAATGATCAGTTCTTTAGTTTTGCCGATGTTGAGAGAGAGATTGTTTTCATTGCACCACATCAACAAGCCCTCTATTGCCCTTCTGTATTTTGACTCGTCATTGTTAGATATCTGTCCCACTACAATGGTGTTGTCAGCAAACTTGCAGACGGCATTCGTTCAGAATTTGGCAATACAATTGTAAGTGTATAGGGAGTGCAGTAGGGGGCTGAGGATGCATCCTTTGGTGGGGGGGGGGGGGGGACACGGGGGGGGGGGGGGGGGGGGGGGTGGGGAGGGTGCTCCAGTGTTGAGCATTATTGTGGAGGGGGTGCAGTTACCTATCCTCACTAATTGCAGCCATGTGTCAGAAAACTAAGGATCCAGTTGCAGAGGGCAGTTCCGAAACCAAGGTCACAGTTTTGAGATCAGTCTGGAGGCGATAATGGTGTTGAAGATGGAGCTGTAGTCAAATGAGCTGAAGTCTACATAGGTGTCTTTGTTGTCCAGATGTTCCAGGGATGACTGCAGGGATAGGGACATTCTGTGGACCTGTTATGTCAATAGGCAAAATTATAGGGGATCAAGGCAGGTTGGGAGACTGGAGTTGATGTGGGTATTGACCAGCCTGTCAAAGCACTGCATGATTATCGAAGTCAGAGCTATTAGGTGATAGTCATTAAGGAACACTGCATGTGTTTTCTTGGGTACAGGGGTGATGGTGGTCTTCTTGGAGCAGGTGGGGACTTCAGCATGTAGGAGGGAGAGGTTTAAGATGTCGGTGAGTACCTCAGCCAGCTGGTCCGCACAGGATCCGAGTGTTTGGCTAGGGACACCGTCTGGGCCCGTTGCTTTCCTTGAGTTGACTCCCAGGAAGCAAATTCTACTAATGGGCCCTTGCTAAGTTAAGATCTTACTGACTCAGTATTAAGACCATAAGATAATCAGTCAAATTCTGTTCCTTTCGGCCCATTGAGTCTGCTCTGCCATTTAATCATAGCTGATGTGTTTCTTAATTCCAATCTCCTGCCTTCTGCCTGTAACCTTTGATCCCCTTAACAATCAAGAATTGCACATATAACACACAAAAACACAAACTGTTAGAGAAAGTCCAGTGACCCTTCTTCAGAACTCATATTATACATTGTTCCATTTGGAATAAAGATGGGTGCCAGCATGGAATGATGACAAAGATACAAGCTGCACTTTTTGTTTGGACAATAATTAGATGTATTATATAAATTTGTAACATTATTAAAACTCAGGTTAATAATATTAAGTTTTCAGTTCTATTTATAGTGTGAAATTACCAATTTGTGGGACAATATTGAAGATTTGTGATTACAGCTCATTTCTTTTCTCATAAAATTCCTGTATGCAAAAAACATTTGGCCCATCAACCCTCCAAAGAGTATTCCACCCAGATCTGGGGAAGAACATGCAAACGCCACACACTCACTCAAGGCTAGAATCAAACCTGGGTCCCACCACTGTGCCATCATATTCCTCCACAGCTCTAGCATTACTGCTAGCTGAACCAAACTACAAAACCTAGTTTGGCACCAAATAAAATCATGACATTTAATACAAGTGCCATCACTGGACCAGAAACAGAGGATAAATGCTTTACAAATAATTTTCCCTTTTAAGGTTTGTTTTTCCCCTTGTGAAAATAAGTCTCTACACAGAAGCCAGTCAGAAGGCAGCTTTACTAACTTGTCTGCAATTGCTTCCATAAATTCATCAATAAGTTCATCATAGCGGTGTGAACGGTCTCTCTTCTGGTAAAGACCCATGTAAAAGGGATCTTTCAACAGCATCTACAAAAGAGGAAAGTATACAACATTTGAGTAATGAGAAGATATATTCTGAAGCACATTAGCCATATTTTACAGAACTCCCACAGAATTACTGAATTAGATATTGCAGTTTTAATTAAAAACTAACAAGCATTACTCCCACTCTGAACAAAACTAGAAATGATATCCTCCATAAACAGAACTCACTCTCCTCTTATCACACCTTTCATCAGGACAGAGCTGGAGAAAGCGAGCAAGACAAGCATGAGTGCAACAGGAGCAAGAAAAAAAAAGTGATTCACCCACGAAGAGAGAGATATATACTATATATCAATGTTTTCCGGTGATGCTGAGTAGAAATCATAGAATCCCCGGTGTGGGAACAGGCCATTTGGCCCAATAAGTCCACACGGAACCTCGAAAAGCATACCACCCAGACCCTCCCTGTAACCCTGCATTTCCTATGGCTAATGCACCTAACCTACACATCCCTGGACACTACAGGCATGGTCAATCAACCTAACTTGCACATCTTTGGACTGAGAGAGGAAACCTGAGCACCCAGAGGAAACCCACGCAGACACAGAAAGAATGTGCAAACTCCACACAAAGAGTTGCCCAAGGATGAATCAAACCCTGGTTATTCTGGCGAGATGGGCTTCACTTGAACCAGGGGACGAGCATTCTGATGAATTAAATAATTTATGCTAATTGAGGGTTGGGAGGGGGAAAATGGAAGTTTACAAAGCACGAGTACATGGCAGCTTGTGGGACCCATGTCTTGGGTTTAAAGCCTGTATTTATTTAAAATGCTTTTAAATTTTACTAAAGTGGTCATGTTTAAAAATGTGATTTTGAGCAATCAAGCAAAACAGTCATTTAGTCAAGATGGAATGTATTATGCAAACACAATGTACAATGAGATTAATTTATGCAGTTACCTCATTGTCAGTGCCCACATCGATACAAACAGGAAGACAACTACGGGGATCAATTCCAGCACAAGTTGTATATAGGCACAGCTTTCCAACTGGGATCCCCATCCCATAAACACCGAGATCGCCAAGTCCCAATATCCGTTCTCCATCTGTTACGACTACAGCCTAGGATAAATAAAATTAATCTGTAATCCTGCACAATAAATCTCTTCTACATGGCTTCAAATCAAGTCTTTCACATTTAAATTAAACACCAGGTAAATTACTGTGTGACGGAATAGGATTTCCCATATTTCTTTATACTTGAGGTACACTTAGTTAAGAATATAGATTAAACTTCCAAATACAATAGAGGCAACAGTATTATAATATTCTAAAACAGTGTAGCAGCTAGATTAGCAGCAACAGAAGGATATAAAACAAACTGATTATATAATGTCCTTCCTATAGCAGATTATTAAACTAGGAGATAAATTTAAACATGAAGGAGACTCAAAAAACTAAAGTATTAGCACATAATCTATAACAAATACCTCAAATGAAAACTGAAAGAATTGTGGATGCTGTAAATCAGGAACAAAATAGTTCGGAGGAAGGGTCACCAGACCGAAAAGTTAACTCTGATTTTTCTTCAGAGATGCTGCCAGACTTGCTGAGCTTTTCCAGCAACTTCTGTTTTTGAACATGTACCTCAAACCTCCATTCCCCACTACTTTCAGATCTATAGTTTTGATTAGGATACCATGCTGAAGAATAATCTGAACATTAGCAACTTCAAGATCCAGTACAGAGTGGCATCCCAGTCTCAAAGAATCTTAGATTGCTGCATCACATTTCCTTTTTCTTTAAAATCATGGCAGTTGTCTATTTGCCCCCAAAAACTGTATCCTTCCTTATCTTAGAGATAGTAGGACCATTTCAACTCCCCCTCCCATTCCTCAGACGACATGTGCATCCCGCCTCCCTAACCTGTCCGTCTTTTCTCCCACCTATCCATTCCTCCCACCTCAGCCCCCATCCCCACCTCCTACCTACCAGCCTCATCTCCGCCTCCTTGACCTGTCTTCCGTGGACTGACCAACCCCCCCCCAACTCCCCACCCACACTCGCCTTTACTGGCTCCATCCCCACCTCCTTGATCTGTCCGTCTCCTCTCCACCTATCTTCTCCTTTATCCATCTTCTATCTGCCTCCCCCTCTCTCCCTATTTATTTCAGAACCCCCTTCCCCTCCCCCATTTCTGATGAAGGGTCTAGGCCCAAAACGTCAGCTTTCCTGCTCCTCGGATGCTGCTTGACCTGCTGTGTTCATCCAGCTCTACACCTTATCTCTCCTTCCTTATCTTCTTCAGTAGGTCTTTATATCGATTATTAATCCTCAGACTTCAATTTCCAGCTCTGCTGTGTCTATCTCCCTATCAAACACACAAACCTCTTAATTTCCTCTTCCTTATAAACTGTTCTACAAACATTTAAATCCATCCTGGACAATGACTGCTCCTGCAGCCCCTCTGCTCCACTGCTTTCCAAGACGGAGAAAGAGATCGATATCTTGAATTCCTCACTCTCCTCTCCCATCTCTCCTCAGAAAAGAAACACTCACTCCATAAAAAGCAGCAACTTAAGAATCTGTGGTCTAGCTTATGGATTTCTACTCACCACTGTACTTCCACAACCAGTGAATCCCCTTACATAGAGAGACTATCCATTATGTTACTTCTCCTTAGCCAGCAAACCTGTAATCACCCCTTCCCCATGCGCAGGTACATTGCTACCCCAGCCAGGAAAACCATCTCTCTTTTGACTGCTTCCATATCTACTCATTAAGTTAACCTTCACTATCCATTTCCTTCAACTCCATTTCTGATGTTCAAATAACTGCTTGCCTTCAGGCATGCTTTGTTTCCCTTTCAGTCATCCACCCCTCAGAAGGTCACCTCTAAAAGGTCCCTACCTACCACTTCCATACACTCCAGTTATCTTACAAATCTATCACCCATGATTTGAAATACATTGCTAATCTCTCCAGAAACTCATTGCATTACCTTGTAAACCACCCGCACAACCAACTCCTCTCAAGGATCCATTTGTTTGTACATCACATTCCATCACTTTCTGACCGTACCTCATCAGCATCATCTAGAATCAGTTTCTACATACACATCTCTCAAGCTCTCAAGCCTGACTCTCCAGAATTTGTTGCTAGTAATGGGAGATCAGAAGAATTTTCCAAGGATATGGTAAGTGCATGGAGAAAAATCACAAGATACTTGATGTGGTTTTATGGAAGCCAAATCATGCCTGATAATGTATTACAACTTTCAAGGACAGAACTATTAGAGATGAACTACAGGAGGAAGAATATTTGGATTTAAGAGATATTAAACAATGTGCCGCATGACAAGTTGTTGCACAGGGTAAAAGCTCCTGAGGGGGAAGGGTTTATATGAAAGCAAGGATGCAGTTTGGGAAACACAGGAAAGGCTTTTTCTGATTTGTTCATGGGATGTGTCTGCCATTGGCTAGACCAGCATTTATTGCCCATCCCTAATTGCCAGAAGGAGTAAAGAGTCAACCACATTGCTGAGGCTTGGAGTCACATGTAGACCAGAAGAGCCAAGGATGGCAGTTTCCTTCCCTAAAGGACATTGGTGAACCAGATGGATTTTCCTGACAATCAAGAATTGTTTCATTGTCATCATTATACTCTTAATTCCAGGGTTATTTTTCTGCTTTGAATTCAAACCTCACCATTTGCCATGGTGGAATTTGAAACTGGCTCCCCAGAACATGACATGGGTCTCTGGATTAATAGTTAGCAATAATATCAGGCCAATATCTCCCCATTCTAGACATAAAAAGAGTCATACAAATGTTCACTTGGCATTACGGGACTTTAAAACTGATAAACAGGAGCATATTTGCTTGAAGCTGTTAGTGTTGCACTCATTAGGGCAGCTCACAGGTAATACCAAATTAAAGGGAAAACAACAGGTTTACTCAGAGCAGGGTTGATTTATTAGCAAGTGAACTCGTTAGTCGAGGTGATGCTGTGAAAAAGCTGCCAGTTCATGATGATGGACTGCTAAATTTCAAGACTTGTTAAAATTCTAAAGCAGACAGACAGATTGATCAAGGCATTACTGAGAAATGAACCAGGAAATAGCCATCACCTATATTGCAATGATGGAGCAGGTGCTGTGTGTGTGTGTGTGTGTGTGTGTGTGTGTTCTCTTTCTTCAAAAAGAGGCCCTAGTATACTAGTATAGGAACTTCAGTACATGCAAATATGCCTGACTTACAATCCTAATTCAGACATTAGCATAATGTTTTGCACACTCAGGATTATTTAGCAACATGTCACCAAATCACAGCAGTGAAGAACAAGATGCAGTGAGTTGGGTTTACATGGATTTCTGTACATAACTGTCTATATCTGAAAAAACAACAATACTTAACAGTAGCTGCCAGGAGTTGAGATTCTGAAATTATATGGCATTTACTAAATAATCCTGAATGCACAAAGAAATTTATAAAAATAAAGTACTGGAGATCTGAAATAAAAACTAAGTGTCAGGGAGAATTTTAGCAGGTCTGGCAGTATCTGCCGAGAGGGAAAAACAGAGTCAGAGTCAACATTTCAAGTCCAATGACTTCCTTCAGAATGATTGTAGCTGTAAGATATGACATTCTTTACACTGTCGATAAAGGGAAAGAGGTGTGAATGGATCGAATGGTGACAGTGCCCAGAGGAAGAGACAAAGGGAGTGCCAAGGCTAGTAAAAGTTGGATCTTGAAGGAAAAATAGGTGTTAATGATAGGTCTGTTTAATAGAAAATAGGTCAGCTCTGCTAAAAGCATACCCATGCCATCAAGATGGGGGTGGGCAGTGGACAGAAGCGGTGTAATCAAAATGGAGGACAGAGTTTATGCTCTGTGGTTGCTGAACTCAATGTCGAGCTCTGAAGGCTGTAAACTGCATAAGTGGAAAAGGAGGTGCTATTCTTCCAGCTCTTGTTGGACTTTGCTGGAACACTGCAGCAGGCTAATGCATTGTTTGTGCATGCAAATTGTCCCGAATACTGCAAGATGAAAAACTTCAAAATTTGCCTTTTTATAAAAAAAAAAAGCAATGCTCAAAAACCTGGAATTTTCAGATTGGCAGACCATCATTGTGGGTCTCTGCGAAGGCCAGTGCTGCTGAAACACTGGACTATTTCTAGTCTCCATTGGAGAGACCACACACTTTTCTTTTTTGGGTCTGTAAACTGAAATGGAATAACTTATTTCTAACTGAAAAAACAGGAGTGTTTTGCAACTGAAAAAACAAAAAGCTGCATATATCATTGTCTGATACAAAAATTGCTTTTTAAAGCAGTGATGGGGAGAATCCAATTCCGAGTGGCACCGGCAACCTTAAGTTACAGAAATTCGGCCTAACAACAGTCCTCTAATTGGTTGAGCTGCAGTGTTAAAATAACTGCAAATGTCATGGCAGCAGGAAGAAACTTACAGAAAGCATCCATTACTCACTCTTTCTGGGCAAAAAGTAGAAAAATAAGAAAGCTTATGAGAAAGAATCCTAAAACAAGCCAGATCTAGGTCCACATGATCAACAAGTTACAGAATGGTCATCATCCTGTAGACAACAGCATGTCAATATTGCTAAAAAGTGGATTTAGAAAATAACTCTCCATCTTGTGGTCTGGACATGGCTTTAGATTCTTTATTATCCTGTCTATATTTTTTCCCCACCAATAGTATATGTGTTATAACATTTGTCTTTTGTCTGTCTTATCACGATTATGTAAAAAGGTTGAAGGGCTAAATTGAAAGTTGCATCATAGTGAATTAGAAATCCTCTCTTTTACATAGAGTCATAGAGATGTACAGCACAGAAACGGACCCTTTAGTTCAACTCGTCCGTGCCGACCAGAAATCCTAAATAAATCAGTCCCATTTGCCAGCATTTGGCCCATATCCCTCTAAACCCTTCCTTTTCATATACCCATCCAGATGCCTCTTAAAATGTTGTAACTGTACAAGGCTCCACCAGTTCCTCTGGCAGCTCATTCTACTACCCTCTGCGCGATAAAAAAATTGCCCTTTTAAAATCTTTCCCCTTTTACTTTAAACCTATTTCCCCAGTACTGGAATACCAAGAGAATTAGAGTACGGAAGCAGAGATGTCTTGGTGCAATTGTACGGAGCCTTGGCGAGGCCACTCTTAGAACACTGCATGCAATTTCTTTTCTCTGAAAAGTTTCCACAGCAAGTGTGTTGCAATAATATTCTCTGTTAATAATGGAATCCAGTAAGATTTGCTTTTGTCCTGAATAGCAGTCAAGCAAATTGGTCATTCTGATGATCGGAGATGGTTTGTGAAACAGGAAGCACAATATTGGGCACTCTTCTCAGTTAAACCTAGGCAATATTAATAACTTAAAATGAGGGGCCAGAGCATACAAACATATTCAAACTTATGATACAAAGCTAAGTGGGAAATTATGTCATGAGAAGGATAAAGCTAGGTGGGAAATTATATCGTGAGGAGATCGAATATACAAAGTGGTTATGGAGGGCCTGAATGAATAGACAAGGCTGCTGAGATGAGGAAAAATTACTTAATTCACCCACAGGACTGCAAATATTTTGATGTCTTTATTCAGAGTAATAAATGCTCAGCCATCAAGGGTATTCAGGGTGAGGTTGATGGATTTTTGGGCTCTTGTGGATCAGGTGTCAAAATTAGTTTGAAATTAAGGATCAGCTAGAAATTTATTAAAGTGGTGCAGAAAGCTGAAGGAGCTTGCTGAAGGAGACTATTCCTGCTCCCACTTCTTACGATATTCTATGCCCTCGGATTAATGCTAGGAAAGACAAAACCATTGCCTCCGACCACGCCACCTGTTCATTATTCTTAAAGACTCACTGCTGTCCAAATCAAAAAGAACTAGCACATTCTTCTTCCAACCTATCGCACATCTTTCATGTATAGCCCTTCCAATCAGAGAGCAGAAACTGGACTACATCATACAGGGCAAAACAAAAAACATCATCCATCCTACAGCCCATGTTTCTGGCTTCATTTACATACTTCCAGAACAATTTGAAGCTGCAAAACATTCCTGATCAGTTAGAGTTATTTAGCATTTCATTTCTAAAGCTGCACATTATGAATCTCTAGAACTGGGAACCAGGAAGGTAAAAAGGACTAAGTGATATGAGTTCCTGGTCTATTATCTAAGGAAACATCTGATTATTATTGGACATGTCTAAATTGAGATAAACTCCAAGAGATATCAGGCAAAAATATTACTGCAGTGCTCAAACATTAAAATCACCAGGCATGCTACCGACTGCAATTTTAATATACCATTTATTATTTACCTTTACATTCATATCTGGCCAGTTGTCAAGAATTGATCTAATATGACCTTTGTCCAGGATGGAAATAAAGACACCCCTGTGGTAATGTGAAAGAAAAAATGAACATAAAAAGCTTTAAAAATGTTGAAAAGATAGAGTTATTTTGGTAGTGCAGAACTTGCGTATTGAAAAATTACACACTGTTGAAGCTTTTAATCTTGCAATCAAAACAAATTTGCAAGAAATGCCAAAGGGAAAATAATAATTATATTGAACAAACGGACAGCGCTGATTGGTTGGCAGTTGTACTCTGCAGTACCCCTGCGAATCAATGAACAATGCACCAGTTAACTTGTGTCAGCCATCATTAACACGCCACGCTTTGTTAAATTTTAATTAAGGCTGATTGATTGGTGAAGGCATTTGCCTGAGAAATGAACTAGACAATAGTTATCACCTATTTTGCTGATTTCAAACAGGTAGTGTGTGCACATGTTCTACATGCCTAGAAAGATCAGGGCACTGTGTATTGACATGTGTAGCTTCCAGTAAATAGACATGCACAATTTGGCATGCCCGACTAACAACTAGTTGTCAGCCTAATTCTTTGCACACTCAGAATTGAACAATGTTTGTGAAACAATCACAGAATCGCATCTAAAGTTGAATACTTTAAGTTTTGAAGTAGAGCTGGTTGCACAGTTAGTAACTTGATTGCTGTGAACAATGATGAGGATATGCTGTTTGCTATGACCAGTCTTTGGAGATAGGCAGAATGTCTTATTGGTTCAATAGCAGCATCCTTATGGTGTTTAGTACTATTTGGTGTTGTGGCTGTAAAATAATCACATGAAAGTAGCAGTTTCACACGCTGCTCAAAACATTGGAGATACTTTATTCTTCCTGGGTATGCCCCAATTGAAAGTGTTGCCAAGGTATCCCCACTATGTGCAGTTCTCAGACCTATTTGTTGGCATCCATGAGAAATGTCTGATGGAATGACACCCATCAGAAATACATAAATGGTAGGAGGTTGCATAAGTGAAATGTTTGCTATATTGGAATTTGCAGCTGCATGTAACAATTTTCTTACAAATCTTAACAGGCTCCACCCTGTACTCAAATTAATCTTTGAAGTGGCACAGTGAAATAAGCATTAGTTTCTTCATATCCTAGTTGAGAAATCAACCAGAGATTCTCCAGAACTATCAAAAACCTACTTTCACGGTCAGTGTAAACAATTGGGATTCCTACAATTTCATATGCTATTAAATTGTCTTCATTGGCAAACTTGTAAATAGTGTCTGAGCCATTTGTTCACCATACAAGCTTAACGAAGAAATAAGGCGCACAAGACTCATCCTGTGGATGAATGTCTGCTTTACCAGATCAGTTCTCCTTGTGTATTGCACAAGTTCATTCACAGATCCAAGGCCATCACTTTTGGTCAAAAAAAGGTGCCTAGTCTATACAGATTACATTGGAATGTATCTCAAATGTTTGAGCAAAAGATGACGCTGTTTCATGTTGCTACTATACAGCAGCAACACAAATACTGGTTATCACTAACATGACACTTGTCAAATCAAAAAGTTCTTCAGCCTATCATGCAAACTAGTAATGTTGTAGATTTATTTCAGTACTGGTGTGATGTCAAGTACGTAAGCCATACTGACCAAAGAATGATGGATAACATTTCCCTTCTTGTTCAGTACCATACCTACTTAGCCTGCACTTGTACACCATGTTTCACATTTTGCATTAGATTTGATTTCACAATTAACAAGATTTACTAAATAATCCTGAGCATGTGAAGAATTACACCGGCAACCAATGGTCAGTTGGGTTTAAGGTCTAATGTATTTTCATGTACTGGAAGTTACATTTAATAAAACGCATGGCAGAAAGAAGAAAATATTTACGCACTGCCTGTTTAACTTAAAATAGGTGTCAAGCATCCACTGGTTCATTTCTTATGGTAACGCCTTAACTGCAGTCAACCTATGTTATTTAAAGTACAAGTAAAGCTTTGCAATTAACTGTCGTTTGTTAACTGACACATTCACCATGGAAACACCTCTGCCAACCCAAATCCACTTGTCATCCAACCAAATCAGCTAGTCCATTGCACAGTACAAACTATCATTTTTCTTTTCCCCTGGTATTACTTAAAAATCTAAAGACAATGAAAATTTGCGAAATTTGACTCAATGGACACCCGAATAACCAGGGAAAAGAAAACTATATCAGTCCAGTCCTGGTTCTAACATTAAAACTTCACCACAACATTTAAGATTTTTTGTGCACTCTAATGCCTTTGAGCAAAAGATTCCTTGAGCAATAGTAGAGATAAACATATCATTCGTTCACGGCATTTACAATCAAAGAAACAGTCCACATAAATTTCCTCCCTATTCCATCCTGATCCCTCAAAAGATCCTTCTCCTTAGCGTTTTGATGTGAATCTTGCTATTTACATCAAAAAACAAATGTGTTTCACATTCACAGTAGCGGTTTGTTCCCATTATTTTTATTAGATGTATTAATGACTATATCAATAGCCCTTAGGTATTGACTTTACTGTAAAAACATCCCCATATTCCATCCAGTCACTTCTACAATAACATTCTTTTCTAGATAATATTTCAAGATTATGGAAAATATTTATCCAATCCTGTTTGAAAATTACCATTGAATCTAGATCCACTACCCTTCAGATAATGCATTCCACATCATAGCTTGTTAATTAAAAAAACACTCCAGACTAAGTGTGTCACATTATTGTTGCGTTATGTACTCTGCAAAATTGAATCAGGCAGAGAGAGGATGCGATGAATGCTTAAGTGCTGGGACAGGAGTAGCAGTTTCTCAGTGAAGATGACGACGATATTAAAACAGGAGGGACATAATCTTCAGCATGACAGAGCATAGCTGAGTCAAGTACAACAAGCCAGACACAGGATCCAATTCACAATAGTTTCCAATAAAAGAGTACAAAGGCAGTAGGAGTATACTCAAGACAGAAATCAGGAGGGCAAAAAAAGGGACATGAGTTAGCTTTGGCAATTAGGATTAAGGAGCATCCAAAGGGATTCTATAAATACATTAAGGAGAAAAGGGTAACGAGGGAGACAATAGGGCCCCTTAAAGATCAGCAAGGCCACGTATGTGTGGAACTGCAGGAGATGGGGGAAGATACTAAGTGAGTATTTTACATGAGTGTTTACTGTGGAGAAGGACATGCAAGATAGAAGACATGGGGAAATAAATGGCAACCTCTTTAAAAAATGTCCATATCACAGAGGTGGTTGTGCTGGATGCCTTAAAACACAAAGGTGGATAAATCCCCAGGACCTGATCAGGTGTACCCTAGAACTCTACGGAAAGCTAGGGAAGTGATTGCTCGGCCCCTTGCTGAGATATTTGTATCATCAATAGCCACAGGCAAGATGCAGAAGACTGGAGGTTGGCTAACGTGGTGCCATTATTGAAGAAAGGTGGTAAGGAAAAGCCAGGGAACAAAAGACCAGTGAGCCTGACGTCAGTGGTGAGCAAGTTGTTGGAGGGAATCCTGAGGGACAGGATTTACATGTATTTGGAAAGACAAGGACTGATTAGGGATAGTTAACATGGCTTTGTGCTTGGGAAATCATGTCTCACGAACTTGGTTGGAGTTTTTTGAAGTAGTAACAAAGAGTATTGATGAGGGCAGAGCAGTGGACGTGATCTATACGAACTTCTGTAAGGCATTCGACAAGGTTCCTCACAGTAGACTGGTTAGCGAGGCCAGATCACACTGAAGCAATAGAGGGAGAACCAGCTATTTGAATACAGAACTAGCTCAAAGGTAGAATACAGAGGGTGGTGATGGAGGGTTGCTTTTCAGACTGGAGGCCTGTGACCAGTGGTGTGCCACAAAGATCGGTGCTGGGCCCATTGCTTTTCATCATTTATATAAATGATTTGGATGTGAACATAGGAGGCATGGTTAGTAAGTTTGCTGTCCACTACGCCTCCAAATTTGGTGTTATCTGCAAAGAAGATTTAAGATATCTGGTTGGTATGGATGAGTTGGACCAAAGGGTCTGTTTCTGTGCTGCATATCTCTATGACTCTAAATTAGGTGACATGATAATTTGTTTACTATAGTTTTGTTGTTGGTTGAAAGGCAAGCAGCCCCTGTTTACTCCAGGCTGCAAGTGTTTTTGCTTCCCCCCCCCGCCCTTTACTTTTCCTGGCACTCAATCAAGGTTAACATTTTTAAGCCCTTTGTTGGCATACCACCATATGATGTGCCAACAATGAAAAATTGACAAGTTGTTGTGTTACACTGGGTGTCAGGAGGAAAATACTCTCCCTTGCATAACCTGGTATGGTCCTAAGGACAGGTAGTCTGTGTAGCATGATTCTTTAACTCAGACAGTCAGGCAGACAGGTGATTGTGTAAAATACCAATATTGTTTGAAGAGAAAGTTTCTATTTCCACCTATGTGCTGTCCAAATCAGCTTTTCCACTTTCCCTCCCAAACTGTACTGCGTCCATGTACTGTGAAGCAGTATCTGTATCTGACAGCAATGACCTGCTGCACAGTTGGGCTTTCAATACAAGTGCTGGTGACAGAAGCCCCGAGAGGTGCCAAGTACTTCCAAGTACATGATAGCACAAGCGCATCATAAAGGCATGCTGTACATGAGATGAGCAGCAGAGAATTGCATGAGATTACTCATTGAAGCTCAGAGAGAAGCCTTCAATGAAACTTCCTGATTTAACACTTTTAAAAAAAAAAAGATGCATTCAGCAAAAATCAGCTAAGAGAATACAAAAAAACAAACTCGGGTGCTTAAATAAATACATTTATTTTATACTTCTGTTGGTTTCTACCAAACTTTAAGCTTAAAAGCCCTTTCAAAAAAAGGTAGATGTGTACAACACATTTCAATTAGACCATAGCATTAGAAAATGCCTAGTTGTCATTTCTGTAAAAAGTTTACAATTTTAAACAATTCAGCAGGTTGTACTTCCTATCTGACAACAAAAGCATCAGAAAATGGTTCAAAGTCTACATTTTCTGTTTCACTTCCTTTCTAAGCAATTCAACTTCTTATAAAATTAAGCTCTTTCCCAGGGTCCTCATATCAGCAATATTCTCCCAACACTTTCTTTGCACTCAGGAAAAAAAACGAAGGTGAAAAAAGAGAAGTTGTAGCCCATCCAGTCCAACAACATTACCAAAAAAAGAGTAAGTGTGCATTATATTATAGAATAACGTGCTACGGTGGCAAAAGCTATGACACTTGGACCAATGCTGCAATTAACTGTTCTCTAATTACTGTAAACAAGCAATGCTGCAACAATGATGAAATGACATGCTAAGAGATTTCAGCCTTGACGATTGTGTTTGAATGCAAGAATAAAGTAATCCACATTCCTATTGACAATAGTCTTCAAGATTAAATCCAGAAATTAGAAAACAAAACTCTATGATATTGTATAACTGGGGAAGGGTGAACTTTTGACTTACTTTGGCCTTCTAAAGATGTGTCCATACTGTAAACAGGCCAAGCCCACTGTCGGTGTATAAACAATTGGCAGCAACTCTTCAATGTTGTCAAGCAAAACCCTATAGAATAGTTTTTCATTCCTTTCCTGTATCCCCATCACATAAATGTACCTACAAGAGAACAAAAGCAATGACAGCAAAGTTCTGCAAGATCATTCATGTGAAGATATTTTCCTTTAGCATTGTAAAGGCCTTAGAATAATTAAGATTTTTTAAAAAACAAATTTAACGTGCTCCATGTTTCCAAGTGTCAAACAGAAAAATGCCCAATCTTATGGCAAGAACGTAGTACAAAATCAAGCCAACTGCTTTATGCCAGCATTTATGCACCACAGATCCTCCTCCCTTCCCACTAGCACACCCTTGCACCCATTTCGTCCATGTTTCACCTCCCACCCTTAAAATCTATCAATGTTATTCAACACAACTACCCCTCTTCATGGTAATGTTCCACTTTCTCATCATTCTTTGCAGCAAAACAAGAAACACCCCAACTCCCTGTTGAATTACTGGCAACAATTTTAAGTTTGGTCTCAACACAAGTGAAAATATCATCTTGAGTTCACATTGCATATTGACAGTCAACAAAACTTGCCCTAAAAAGTCAAGGGTAGTACTTAACAACTTGATTATCTTTTTAAACTGTAAGATTTAGGTTCCTGTAATGCTAATCAACCACTCCACATACAAAAAGAGAAAAATTTAAGTTGTGTAATCTCATTCCTATAGTTAGTAGATTTTTAAAATCCCTAACTTTCCATTGTCTTTTCCCTCTCAATCCAAACTTTCTTTCCTTCTCCATTTTTCTTTCTCTACTTGCTTTAAATTTCATTTACCCATTCTGCTTCTCTAGAGTTACGGATTCTTTTTCTAATCTTTAAGTGTCACTAATTAAAGTTGGTTCTGTGATTCACCAAGATCCCAGATGTCCCATTGTCATCAGCATGTTGTCGTCAACACATACTTGAATCCTACAGCTCAGAAAATGTAAACTTAAAAAGGTGAGGGATGAAGTCTAAAAGTGACTCAGGCCAGATCAGAAGAGTACATTATGATCAATACTAGCTTAAAAACAGCTGAGAAGAATTTAAAAAGTGTCTATACCATAGGAATTGACAGTACTGCTTTTCTTATTAAAAAAAAGAAAAATAAATATTTTAAATGAAGCATTTCCAAATATTGGTCACATTAGCCAGACTGAATTGAATTCAACATCATGAGCTTTAATGTGTGGAGTAGAAATTGGGGGAAATAAGTTTTTATAATGTAAAACACTGTAGGAGCTGGAGACCTGCAAAGAAAATAGAAAATGCTGGAGAAAGTTGCTACGTCTGGCAACATCTGTGGAAAGAGAAACAGAGTTGATGTTTCAAGTTCAATGACTCATTTTTTGAAACAGGGATAAAAAGTTTAAAAAGTGTGTGTGAAAGAGCATAATAAATCTAATCTATATTTGTATCCAGTTATATGTTTTTCTGCTTATTCCTACAGAAGTGACCAATTGTAAAACTACAAAGTATTGGAAACACACAAACATTTATTTTGTGTTTAACTGATTTGTTGATCCACAAGTTGTAACTTCAAACAAAAAAAACTCAGATTTTGCTTTTAGAAATCGACACAATTTTCTTTCAATTTTTTTGAACTGCAAAGTGGCCACTAAAAATAGTCCTTATTTCCTAGCTAACAGTGGATTGCTATATTAATAGAAATATTTCTGACAAAAGTTAGCATATAAAAATAGCTGTTTCTGGCCAGCAATTTTTTTTTTTTTGTTTAAAATTTGCCATAGCTGGAGCAGCTGCTGACAACTCTTTTCAGCTCTCAAAATCAATGTACAAATCTTCAGCATGTCAACAGTTGATTTTAAACATGCAAGATTAGCATTTAATTGAAAAATCTTACACATAATGGCTCGACTTTCATCCAACTACGACAATAAAGCTATGTCACAATTAAACTCAAATTTGACATCTAATGAGTACGGTCAATATTAATAGATGTAGAGTTTTTGAATTACTACTTTTGCATGCAAAGGATCTAACCAACTTCATTCTTTTGGTTCTATTGTACAATGTACAATAAATAAGATAGCTCTTACTTTGTTAGAGGATCATTAATTTTTCCCAGGTTCTGTTTAAAGCGCATTGCTTGAATTTCTTGTGTTTCTATTTTAGGAGGTAGAAGTCCATGCAGGCCAAGAATCTGTCGTTCCTCTAATGAGAATGCCATGCCCTGAAAAGAGTGCAGAGTGCATTCACAATGTTTCAGCCCTGACAGTTAGTGTATTGCAAAGTGTATTCAAAGCTGGATTATACATTTGACATTAGGAGTCTAAAAGGAGATGCAATGAATGTTGCCTATGTTGTTTCGTGGAAATTCTGAGGAACAGAAAATCACCCCTTTTCAACAGTTGAATCCTTAAGGAACAATGAAACGTTGCTATAACCATTTTACAGTATTGTTTCAAAGTCTTTTCTACTCATTTATTTCAATTATACATTTGCTTCTAATATAAGAATATTAGAGATTTATATCTAATTTTACATGTCTTATCATATTTGTCAAGAGCAACTTACATTGTTTGAGACTATGCCCTTGCTGTGACTAGGTTAAAACTAGAGATTAAAGTTTTAAACTGCAAGATCCCATTAAACAAACCTCATTCTCGTCAAATAAGATTAATTAAAAGCAAACATTCAGCTTGAGTCAAGCACTTCCTTTATTCCGGATTGCTGTTGCCCTGTATTTATCTGAAGTGGTTAAGGACAATCTCATTTCAATTTTGCATTCTAAAATTCTGAATCTGCAGATCAGCAGATATCCAAAAATGTAAACTGCAACCTCCAGTACATTCTCTCTCTCAGTGATCTCCAGTGGTGGGACAAACATCCATGTCTAGTCATTGAAATTCCTTTCCTATTCCTCAAGTTGCCAAATTCTCTCTCTTCCTTAATACCCAACCTTTTACACAATATTATGGTCACTCTTCGTAAAATGTTCTGCTTTTGGTATTAGCTTATTACCCTAATCCTATAATACATATTAGAACTTTTTGTAACTGGCATTAACTGAGCACAAGAAGAACAAAACAAAACATAGAAAAAGTAAGGCTGACAGCATCTGTAGGGAGAAACCGCTTTAGTATTTCAGGTCAAGATCTTTCAGTTTTTTTCCAGCATCTTGTTCTAAATAAATGCAAGTGCTGCTATTGCAAAACAGCACTCTTCCCCACCATCATATGTAGTATGCAAATAGGTAGTGGTACAGACAAAGGCAAAATGTGAAACTTTTAGAATTTCTGACCTCTTTTCTTAGAAAGAAAGAATCGTGTGTCTGAAACAGGAACATAACTAAGGAAAAAAGCAAAGTTTTGGATGAAAGGTTGTGGACCTTCAACTACTGAACACTCACAGCATTGGCTATATTTCTTTATCTTAGCATAATATACAATATTAAAAAGTGCATGCTTTTGGTCACTAGATACAGGAAACTCTAGTGGTGCTCTAATATTAATGGAAAAATATTATGTTAATTTGTAAAATTATTACCTTATTTGTTCTGGGACTCAACATCAGTGGTTTGCCCTTCTCCTTCGTGTGGACAGAACGGCACATATGTACACATGGTCTTACAGCCAAATTAAGTCGCGACAACATCTTCAATATTTAGACTTCAGGAGTTAAAGTAAATCATATTAGCCATTTTAGTAACAATTTCACAGCATTCTAATATCAATACAAGTTTATTTAAAGCCCAAAGAAACTGGTTTCAAGAGGTGAAACCAAATGCATTTAGGTGGTAATAAGGTCCCTTTCTTCCCCAGTACCTTTTCCAGAAAAAAATGCCTAGTTTCAAAAAAAAACGTGGAGGGGTACACCTCCATTCATCCTGTTCATGTGAACTTGGGGAAAATCAACTGATTGCGACAGGAGTTTGAAGTGATTAATATAATTATTAACTTGCTTTTCACAACACATTTCAGTTTCCTTTTCTGTAACGAAATGATTTGATTGATTGCTTGGATTGTCACGTATACCTAAGTAGTGAAAAGCTTGGCTTGCAAGCAGTACAGGTACAGTAAGGAAGGATGTACAGATCATGGGGTGACAAAAAGACTTGGCGGGGTTACACCACACAGGACATGGGGCAAGAACAACATTAACAAGATCAACATTATTTGAAGATAGACAGTCGATTCATCAGTCTAATAACGACAGAAAAGAAGCTGTTCTTGAACCTGCTGGTGCACATGTTCAAGCTTCTGTATCTTCTGCCTAATGGAAGAGGTTGTGGAAGAGTGTTACCAGGGTGCAATGGATCTTTGATGATGTTGCCGCGGAAAGGCTGCCGGCAAGTGTAAATGGAGTCCGTGGATGGAAGGCTGGCTTCCATGATGGTCTGGGCTGTGTACACCACCTTCTGTAGTTTCTTACAGTCCTTGGCAGAACAGTTGCCATACCAGGCTGTTATGCACCCAAACAGTATGCTTTCAATGGTGCCTCTGTAGAAGTTGGTGAGGGTCCTTATGAACATGTCAAATTTCCTGAGCTGCCTTAGATAACACCACCAGATATATTTATGAATATAAAATTAAGATTACAATTTGAATTTTGTATTGGGTCTCCATAATAAAAAGAGTGTTACTTCAGGTTAACAGGAAGTAAAACTAACAAATTTTCATTCACATTGCAACAAAGCCTAAAAGGCTGCCAAGTTGCTAATTACACCAATAGTAGGCAATGAAAGTGAATGATCCAGATACATTCAACTTCCTGAAAGTTTTATGTACACAAATAATGATCATAGTTCAATAACCATCCTTTCATGCAGAACCACACCCATTCATGGTATAACTAACTGTACAGCAACATCATAGTCATAGACATTAAAGCCTAGTTACATATTTACTCATGTAACAATGTTGTAACGTGTTGCAGGTCATTCTTTTGAGGGTTTTAATCCTCAAGCATGCAAGAACATCTAAACCCCAATAATTCCTGGTGAATTTTTCCAACACTAGAAGTTGCTAAGAATTGCAAGTCCTCTAAATGCTGCTACTGACAATTTAAATTTTCACCAAAGGAGAGGCAGAACAAAGTTATGCATTCACTGCATAAGACATTATTCACAGAACCCTGAATTAATAAATTAAAAATAGTATTACTACTTTTAGAAATCATTACAATGATGTGGAATTCAAGAAATGTACTTGAAAATAGCTCCAGTAATTTCCACAAACTTCCCTTCCACAGTGGATTGGAGATTATCCTTGGTTGAGCATTAATTTAGCTGAATTTTAGAATCGATGTGCTGGAGCTATTGCAAGAAAATTAAAAAGATGCGACTTGAAAAAAGCGAAATTGATCTAGCAACAGGTACAGCAGTGTTAGATGACAAGTTATATAAAGTGCAAAAACATGCTGGTGATTACACCCTGACCAGAAAAAGCAGCATTTAATTTTGTTCACCTTCTGAACAATTTGATTCTTTGAGCAATGATTGTTAAAATCCTGAACCGAAGTAAAATTTATAAAAAGCTAACAAAGATTTGCTCATTACATCCCATATGTTTAGCAACTCTTACTTTTGTCCTTTCCCAGTGTAAGGCAAACTTATGCTTTTGATTATTGAGGTGGGTGCTGGCTTACAATTAATTTTCACACTCCCATGTATAGCTTACAAATAGTGTTCTTGCCAAATGTTTTTATGCAAATTTAAGACGTTGGAATTCAAGTTTTTTTCAGGTGCAGCCTAGCAAAACTTAAAATACAGAAGAAAAAAAAATACAAAAATGGAGGGAGGAAAGGAAAAGCCAAAGAAAAGACTGCAGCTAAGAAGACAAGATTTTACTTTCAAGAAAAATATAGGTAGCAGCAGCATCCCTTAATCTTTGTCTAGGCATCATCTTAGTCTTGAAGATCTATAAATTTGGACCAAGGGGTCTCTTTCTGTGCTTTATGACTGAGCATTGTCAGTTTTTGGCATAGATGTGCATTAATTTGCTTCAAAACTGAATTAGGAAAACAAAACACTGAATTTTGATTCTAAGTCACTTCCTACATTTAGAAAGCAAAAATTATTAGACATAACTTTACGTAAGAATGTTTTTGTCAGTAGTTGCAACCTACATTAAACTTGTGTCATGAGCAGAAAGCTGGAACAGCACAGAAAGCAGAACAAATAGAAATGTTTGAGGAAAGCTAAAAGGTCATGCTTAATTGCTTTGAATAGCACTAACTACATACAAGATAAAAACAATTAGATTAGAAATGCCCTCAAATGCACATCTATTTGTTTGTTCAGTCTTACCTTTTCCCTTCCTCCCAAGACAAAGTTAAACTAAATTATCAGCAACACTTGCTTCAAAAAAAAAACATCAGTTTAGCAACTCTTGCATAACTCTGGCTGGGGACAAGATTTTCTTTCAAAGTTTATGTAATTTGTCATTCTGATGAAGCTCTTTCTAGACAATACTACACCCATGTGAGCTATAGTATTGGTCAGAAATTAAGTAAGATGAACAAAATTTCACAAAAAGCATTTAGAAAAGGAAATAGAAATGTTCAGGGAGGACTCTCATTAAGCTAAACGCCTATCCACCAATGGTCAAACAAAACAGTGTTACATTGCACTAAAGGCCATTTGACTTGTCTGACTGGTTCTCTGCCCTTTTTGACTTGAACCCATTGGGCTAAACTCCTACCTTTTCCCATAACTCTGAACATTGGTTCTATTTAAATTATTATCTAATACCCTCTTGAATGCCTCACTTGAGCCTGCCTCCAGGCAGCACATTCCAGACCCTAACTACATTTTTTTTTAAAATTCACGCAAAGGATAAGGGTTTCATTGACTAAGCCAGCATTCATTGCCCATCCCTCACTGCCCAGAGGGCAGTTAAGGTTAACCACATTGCTGTGGATCTAGTGGGCCAGAACAGATAAGGATGACAACTTTCTTCCTTAAAATGACATTGGTGAACCTGATGGGTTTTTCCCGACAATCGACAAAAGATTCATGGCCATCATGAGACTCTTAATTCCAGATTTATTTCTGCCGTGGTGGGATTTGAACCCGGGTCCCCAGAACATTACTTGGGTGTCTAGATCAACAGTCCAGTTATAATACCACTAGACCATCACCTCCCTGCAAACTTGCTATGTGAAAAGATATTTCTCTCAACTTGCATTTGTTCTACACTTTCTAGCCAGTTACACTTTTGAAAACCTCTTAAATCTCGTCTTAGTCTTCCCTCTTGAAGGAAAATAGTCCCAGTTTCTCCAATTTATCATAATTGGAGGTTCTCATCCTTTTGGAAACCTTTTCTGCACTCTCTCCAATGTATTTCATCCTTTCTGTAAAGGTGTGCCGCCTCAAACAGTACATAATAACCCAACGAAGTCAAATTAACCTGCTATACAAGTTCAGCAAAACCTCTTGGCCTTTGTAGTCTATGCCCCATTAATGGAGTCTAGAATACCGTATGCTTTAACTCTCTCGCTATCTGTCCTGCCACCTTTTATGGCTTATCCAGATCTCTCTGGTCCTGCACACCCTTTAGAATAGTCCATGTTTTTTGTATCTAAAATGTATCACCTCACACTTCTCTGCATAAGCTTCATCTGCCAGCTGACTGCACCGAATTATCTATATCCTTTTGGAATTCTACCCTATCCTCCTCAACATTTACAATGCCCCCAAATTTGGTCATCCAAAAACTTTGAAATTGTCCCCTACAAAGATTAAATTACTTATATACAAATCAGGAAGGCAAGATCTCAATACCGATCCCCAAGGAACAGCTCTATCAACCTTCCTCCAACTCGAAAAATACACATGTATCACCACACTATTGTTCACCTAGTTTTCTACGCACGTTGCTCCTGACCCTTTAACTCCACGAGCCTTAAAACCTCTCATAAGGCTCATGTGGCACTACTGAATGCTGTCTGGAAATCCGTGCACATCACATCAACATTCCCCTCATCAACCTTCTGTTCCCTCTTCTAAAGAAAAACTCCAGCAAGTGTGTCATTTTCATCCTAAGGTGTGACATCTAGAACTGTATACAATAATCCACATGAAGTTCAACTAACGTTTTGTACAACATTTACTTAACAAACCCATTCTGGTTGTTCCCAAGTAATTCAAATTCTTCCATGTGATTATTAATTCTATCCTCAATGATTGTTTCTAGCAATTTTACTTTGAAAATTTGGAGGTAGGGAGGCTAACAGACCTGTAAATGCTGTGCTTATCTTTACAATCCTTTTTTGAAATGGGGCACAATACTTGCAATTCTCCAGTCCTCCGATAGCACTCCTGAATCCAGGAAAAAAATTGAAAGAATATTGTAAATGCATCTGCAATTGCCACTTTCACCTCCTTCATTAACCCAGGATGCATCTCATCTAGGGCAGGAGGAGTAAGGGGAGGCAATGGCCTTGTGGCATTATTGTTAGACTATTAACCCAAAGACCCCAGTAACGTTCTGGGGACCTGGGTTCAAATCCTGAGACAACAGATGGCAGAATTCGAATTCAATAAAAATTTGGAATTAAAGGACTAATAATGACCATTGGAACTATTGTCGATTATCAAAAAAACCTGTCCAGATCGCCAATGACCTCAAGAAAGGTAACTACTGTCCCTACCTGGTCTGACCATCAGTAGTTTAAAAGAAGCTGCATCATTAACTTGCACAGGATAACATGCTATTTTTCGCTACAGCAGATACATTGTATCATGAAATAATGACAGGCTACACATTCGAAACCAAAAAAATTTAGAATGAAGAATCTACTGATAACCATGACATCATTGTCAATTGTCAAAAAAACTCACCTGGTTCACTAATGCCTTTCAGGGAAGGAAATCTATCAACCTCACCTGATCTGGCCTACATTTACTCCAGACCCATAGCAATGTGGTTGACTCGCAATTGTGCACTGAGATGGCCTACTATGCCATTCAGTTGCACCAATCAAAACAATGTCTCAGAAATGAAACCGGATGGATCACCTGGCGTCAACCTAGGCACCGGAAAAGACCACGGCAGAAACAACACTGTCGACTCTGCAAAGTCCTCCTCACTAACGTATGGGGGCTAGTGCCAAAATTGGGAACTGTCTCAGGCTAGTAAAGCAACAGCTACACAGTCAAACTCACAGAATCATACCTTCCAGACAATGTCCCAGATACCACCATCACTATCCCTAGTGATGTCCTGTCCCACCGGCAGGACAAACCAGTCGAGGGTGCGGCACAGTCGTATGCAGTCAGGATGGAGTTGCCCTGGGAGTCCTCAACATTGCCTCTGGACCCCATGACGTCTCATGGCTTCAGTTAAACATGGGCAAGGAAACCTCCTGCTGATTATCACATACCACCCTCCTTAGTGAATGAATTGGTACTCCATGTTGATTAACACATGGAGGAAACACTGAAGATGGCAAGGGCCCAACATGTACTCCGGGTGGGGGAGTTCAATGTCTACCACCAACAGAGGCTCAGCAACAGTACTACTGATCGAGCTGGTCACGTCCTAAAGGACATAGCTGCTAGACTGGGTCTGCAGCTGGTGGCAAGGGAACCAACAAGAGGAATCAATATACTTGATCTCATCCTTAGCAATTTACCAGCTGCAGATGCATCTGTCCATGACAGTATTGGTAACAGTAACCACTAAGTAGTCCTTGTGGAGACTAAGTCCTGCCTTCACATTGAGAATAATGTCCATCGTGTTGTGTGGCACTATCACTGTGCTAAACGAGGCAGAGTTTGCACAGGTCTAGCAACTCTAGACTGGGCATCCACGAGGCACTGTGGGCCATCAACAGCAGCAGAATTATACTCCAGCACAATCTGCAACCTCACGGCCCAGCATATACCCCACTCAACGATTACCATCAAGCCATGGGATCAACCCCAGTTCAATGGAGAGGGCATGTCAGGAGCAGCACCAGGCATACCTGAAAATGAGGTGTCAACCTGGTGAAGCCAAACAAGACTACTTACTGCTTTCACTGTTTGGTGTGCAAGTGGTAGACACAGCTAAGTGATCCCACAATCAACAGATCAGATCTAACCTCTGCAGTCCTGCCACATCCAGTTGGGAATGGTGGCGGACAATTAAAACAATTCACAATTGGTATCACAAGTACACATTTAAATTCTTAAATGCTCCTTTTTGTTTTCAGCATCTCAACAGGCATTCTGGAATAAATGTTGGACTGGCAGCTTGAAAAGACTTCAGCAGGGCAGCAGACAAAAATAGCGCTGAGCAGGGTATAGTTGGGTGCCATTTGCACTGATGTCAAATCTGTCATGCTTTCAACTGACAACACAAAGGTGCAATGTGTATGTCAAAAATAAATGGAGCAATGATGAGGGACTGGTGAAGATTAAAAGGATATGAAATTACGAGGAGGATAGAATGTTGGATTAAAAGTTGTTTAGACAGGAGAAAACAGGAATTATTTGAGGTATTGATGTTAAGTGTTCAATTTTGTGGTTACTGTTCAAAAGGTGTAGAGGAAGTATAGTAGAAATTGAATTAAACCAAAATAATGCATGCATTAAACAATTTAGAAGACTAAACGTGTTCATCACCCTGTCCACGTGCGGTTCCACTTTCAAGCAACTATGTACCTCCACTCCAAGGTCTCTTTGTTCAGCAATGCTCCCCAGGACCTTACCATTATTTATACAAGACTTGCTCTGGTCTGCCTTACCAAAATACAGCACCTCATTTTATCTATAAAAAAACTGCAACTGCCACTCGTCGGCCCATCTGATCAAGGTCCCATTGTACTCCAAGATACCTTTTTTACTGTCCATTACACCAACTTTGGTGTAATCTACAAACTTAATAACCATACCTCCTATATTCACATCCAGATCATTTGTATAAATGACAAAAGCAGCGGATCCAGCACTGATCCTTGTGGCACACAGCTGGTCTCAGGCATCCAATCCAAAAAAAACCCTCTACCACCACCCTCAAGCCAATTTTATATCCAAATGGCTAGGTCCCCCTGGATTCGCTGTGATCTAATCTTGCTAACCAATCTATCATGCAGAACCTTGTGGAATGCCTTGCTGAAGTCCAGAGACATCATCTATCACTCTGTTTTCATCATTCTTCTTTTGCAACCCCATGAGATAGCTTAACAAAGTCTCAGAATCTCTGTAGAACCTTATTTAAATTTGCTTATACAGGTATTGGGGAACAAAGACATATCAAAAACCAGTTTCTCAATAAAGATGATATGGATTTGAAATAGCACTGAAAGAGCAGCATTACAACATGATTGAGCTGATTCAAGTTACACAGAAATCCATGTCAGATGTTACATGCTCAGCAGTTTGTATTTTGAGTAGTATAGCTCCAATTATGAAAGAGTCAGGTGGTTCAATACACGCACACATCCCTGTCAAGATTCTACTCTCCCTCACATTCTTTACTGAAGGAAAGAAAATAGCAACAGAAGTAGGCCATTCAGCCCTTGGAGCCTGTTCCTCCATTTAGTACGACTATCGCTGAACGTCCATCCCAGTACACCGTTTCTGCTTTTACCCCATACCTTTTGATCCTTTAGCCCTAAAGAACTATACCTAACTCATTGAACGTTTTGGCCTCAACCACTTTTTGTAGCGAAGACTTCCACAGGTTCACCAATTTCTGGATGAAGACATTTCTCCTCATCTCAGTCCAAAATGGCCTACCCTACATCCTTAAAGTGTGACTCCTTCTGGACTCCCCTGCCATCAGAAACATCCTTCCTGCATTTACCCTGTCTAGTCCTGTTAAAATGTTATTGATTTCTATGAGATCCCTCTCATTCTTCTAAAACCCAGTGAATATAGTCCTAACCAATCCAGTCTCTCTCTTCATACACAAGTCCTACCATCCCAGAAACCAGTCTGGTAAACCACAAATGAATTGCATGATTTAACCAGTCACGTATATTTGTCATTTGGGTCATTATCCAATGTCAAAGTCTTACATTTATTCAGCATTTTCAGAAAAACTGCTTGGTAATCCACCACCAGGATGAACACTTAAAATCCTCATTTTGCAATCACTGCATAGCTTATCTTACTGCAACCTAAGCAAAATTAAAACGCAAGTGGTAAAACCAACTGCCATGAGTCATGTGACTGGTGATTCAACATAAGGGAAGTTTCATGTAGTCTGCAGAATTTGAAAGATTTTCAATAAAAAAAGTCAACCTTCTACTAGAAAACTAAATTGAAATGGAATTATACAATCATACAATTAACTGAAAACAAAATACTCAAGTCAGGCAACATTTGTCAAGTGAGATACGGAGATAATGTAGTTTCAGGTTAATAACATTTATAAGATCTGAAAGCCAAAATGTCACAAGTAGGGCGCTCTTAGTGCAGTTATATAGGGTCTTGGCAAGGACCAAATCGGAGTATTATGTGCAGTTTTAGTATCCCTACCTTTTAAGAAAGGATATATTTGACAAAGAGGGATTACAGTGGATGTTCACTAGTAGATACTGGGGACTGTCCCATGAGGAGTGAATGGTTCAGCTGGCCTTGTCATTACATGGGCTGCTACCACAAATAACCTATTATCAGCCACTAATGGTCCCCTGGTCCCCTGGCTGATTCTCCCTGGCTGACCTCTTCCTAGCTACAATCAGTTCTGAAGAAGGGTCAGTGGAACATTAACCGTTTTCTTTCCACAGGTGCCGCCAGACCTGCTGAGATTTTAAAGCAATTTGTTGTTTTTGGTTCCTATGGGCCTTAGTAAAATTTTAGAAGGATGAGGGGGGATCTGATTGAAACATTTAAAATTCTAACAGGGCTGAACATACTACATGCAGAGAAAATATTCTTCCTGGTTGCGGAGTCTAGGACCAGGGTACGCAGTCCCAAGATTTATGACTGAGATGAGGAAGAATGTTTCACTCAGGCTCATAAACCTGTGGAATTTTTTTAAAAAATTCATTAATGGGATGAGGGCATCACTGGCCAGGCAGCATTTATTGACCTTCCCTAATTGCCAAGAGGGCAGTTGAGAGTCAACCACATTGCTGTGGGTCTGGAGTCACATATAGGCCAGACCATGTAAAGATGGCAGTTTCCTTCCTTAAAGGACATTAGTGAACCAGATGAGTTTTTCCGACAATTGACAATGGATTCATCGTCATCATTAGATTCTCAATTCCAGACACTGTACTGAATTCGAATTCCACCATCTGCCATGGCAGGATTTGAACCGAGGTCCCCAGAATGTTACCCGGGTCTCTGGATTAACAGTCCAGCAATAATACCACTAGGCCATCACCGCCCAATTCTGTATTACATAAGGTTGAGGAGATGAAGTCACAAAATTTATCCACAATTGGACATGAACATACTAAATAACATAGCCTTTAAACCTTCTGCAACAAAGTCAGAAGAAAGTCCTCCTCTGTCCTTACCAGGCAACCCCTTATGCTGAAACGTTGCCCTCTTGTCCTAAATGCTTTCAACATCTACCCTGTCAAACCCTCCAAGAATATTAATGTTTCAAAAGGTATCGCCTCTCATTCAAGGAATTATGACATTAGAGGCTGTAGAGAAATGTCCAGAGGTAAGGCAAGGACAGTAATAGTCTTGGAAGAAACTTCTTCACGTTCAGTGGTCGGAAAGATAGCATGCCAACTTTCTGATAACTCCCGTCTCTGCAAGGTGAGTTTGCCAAACAGTACCTCCCTTGACAATCCAAAAGCAAAATACTACATACATTGTAAGTCTGAAATAAAGACAGAAAATCTTGGAAATACCCAGCAGTTCAAGCAGATCTGTGCAGAAAAGAAAAATACAAGCTAACATTTCAGGTCATTGTTCTTTCACCATGTTTATGGATAATATTAGGGCTGCACCTGAGAGAACAGAATGCCGCAACTTAAAAAAGGTTATGGACTAGGATAAGAAGAGAGCAGAGAAATTGTGATGGATATTTTCACACCAGAAGTTCTCAGTAAAATGCTCTAGCTTGGGGACAAAACAAGGAAGGGGTGTAGGTGAAACATGAATTCTGAAGATAAAAAAGGGTCCACTGGGCAGACAAAAATTCTTGGCTAAAAGTATTCCAACTTTGTGCTCACAAGGAAAGCTCACCAATGTACCCAGCCAAAAATTAATTGATTTGGATGCATAAAGCAAAGTGGTGAAGCAAAGGCCTTGGCGTTCTGAAAGGTTGTGAAAGTTTTTGGAATAATCTCTCCCAAAGAATTGTGGATAGTCCATTGTTGAACACGTTTAAGGCTGCAGCAAACGGATGTATGGCCCTTTCGGCAAGCAGACGGGAAGGGGGAGTTGAATCGGAGATCAGCCACGGTCATAACTGAATGAGGAACAGGCTCAATAGGCCATTCTGTTACTATTTCTCCCGTTCTTGTAAACTGGAAATACAAGCCAGAGCAGCTTTCGAGATGGTGCGAGCTGGAGTCACACTGCACGCAAGCCGAATGCAAACAAGAGCCAAGGTTCAAGAAACAAATTATTTTAGAAATGCAAGTAATAATCGGGGGAAGCATGAAAGGTGGAAAACCGACTGAAATCCACACAGAATGAGTGAGCAGCCCGAAGACAGTTGCTGAGGAGAGAGAAGTGGGTATGAAAGCGAGTTTTGATTACACAGGAATTGAAGAACAATGAAGACGAACAAAGGGTAAAAACACGCCAAAGAGGAGGAATGAAGTTCTTCGCGGCGGTCAACCCTGGAAGAGAAGTGGCAGTGATTCAAACGCCAATGTGGTACACAAAAACACAACAGAAAATGAAAAATTCTGCATGCGGTTGCTCACAACCGAAAACAAACTGGGTACGCACTGGTGTAAGGGCCCAGCCGCAACCCTCAATAAGTGAAGTTGCCGAGAAGGAGAGCAAACAGTGTCTTCAGCAGATAAGTCAGACCCAGGAGAACCGCCTGATATACCCATCCTCTAGGATTCAGGTTCACACACCAGAATCGCCCGAAGATTTTTGAACATCAACCAGAGACAACTTACCACACTGATGGTTCCCGAATAGTCTCTGCAGCACAACTCCACACCCACAGATACCTCAGGTCATGACCCGCTGAGCGACGCTAGGTGAGACAGGACGAACGTGCGAGGGGAGGAGTGCAATTGTGGAGCGGGACAATAGATTGACCGACAGTCTTTCTGACCAATAGGGAAATGGTATCCTGGTGTCCTACATGCCGTCAGACCAATAGAAGGAGGGGATAGTGGGAAGGGAGAGGCGGGGCCATTAGCTGGAATCTGGCCAATAGGATTTAGAGAAGGCGAGAGCGCGAGATGTTGGGGTGGGGAGGAGTTAACGGTTTTATTCTTCGAAATTAGGAGCTGATGCGTCTGGTTTCTGACCGATTTTAGAGTTTGCTGTAAGAGTTGGACAAATGTCAATAGAAGCGTGGATGCTGGAAATCTGAGATAAGATATAAAAATCAGTCTGACAATTCACAGCAACCACTGCCGTTCTCAGGGCAACGGATCCTTCAATTATTTCCAGTATGGTTGGGCACCTTGTTGGCAGCAACCGTGAATACCGAAACAGAGTTAATGTTTCAGAGATAGGAGGAACTGCAGATGCTGGAGAATCTGAGATAATAAGGTGTAGAGCTGGATGAACACAGCAGGCCGAGCAGGAGGACTGACGTTTCGGGCTTTCAGAAATGGGGGAAGGGGTTCTGAAATAAATAGGGAGAGAGGGGAGGCGGATAGAAGATGGATAAAGGAGAAGATAGGTGGAGAGGAGACAGACAGGTCAAAGAGGTGGGGATGGAGCCAGTAAAGGTGAGTGTAGGTGGGGAGGTAGGGAGGGGATAGGTCAGTCCAGGGAGGATGGACAGGTCAGGGGGGCGGGATGAGGTTAGTAGGTAGGAGGTGGGGATGGGGCTTGAGGTGGGAGGAAGGATAAGTTAGGGCGGTGGGATCAAGCTGGGCTGGTTTTGGGATGTGGTAGGGGAAGGGGAGACTTTGAAGCTTGTGAAGTCCACATTGATACCATTGGGCTGCAGGGTTCCCAAGCGGAATATGAGGTGCTGTTCCTGCCACCTTCGGGTGGCATTGTTGTGGCACTGCAGGAGGCCCAGGATGGACATTTCGTCTGAGGAATGGGAGGGGGAGTTGAAATGGTTCACGACTGGGAGGTGCAGTTGTTTAGTGCGAACCGAGCGTAGGTGTTCTGCAAAGCGGTCCCCAAGCCTCCACTTGGTTTCCCCGATGTTGAGGAGGCCACATCTGGAACACCGGATGCAGTATACCACAT